TTTAATTTTATAATTAGTTATAAATTTTTATTATTATTAATATCTAATTTTTTAATTTCTATTGAAGTTTTTATTATTTTAATTAATATTTTCTTCATTATTAAGACTTTATTTTAATATATAATTTTTTTTATTTTAATAAATTTTCTATTATTTAAATAATTTAGTTATTAATTTATTATTAATATTTTATTTATTATATTAAAATTAATTAATTTATTTATTCTTTTTTATAATTACAATTTAAAGAATTTTAATATTTTTAAATAGGTGTATTATTTTGAAAATTTTTAAAACTTAATACAAACTAATTTAATTATTTATAGTAATTAACTAGTTATAATTAATAACTCAATAAAAGTTAAAATGATAGATTAATTACTACTTATAACTCATTTAATAGTATAGTGTTGAAGATAAAATCTAATTAAATTTTTTAAAATATTTAAATAAATTGATTATTTATTTTACTAGATATCTATTATATAAAATATATAACTTTTTTGATATTGATATTTTTTACATTTTAGAAACTATCTTTTTACAGTGTTACTATTATTCTAATAACAAAATAATTACTGCAGTTTTATATGAGATAATTATCTTAAAATGATAAGATGATTATTATACAAATAATAAAATGATTATTTTTATAAAAAATATTATTTTTTCTTAAATCAGATAAATTGATATTTAAATATATTCATAAAAGAAAGAAGACTAATTAAATTTTATAAAGTATTAGAAAATGAATGCAAACTGCATGAAAAAGAATCACTCTGTATTGCTAACTGCTATATAATGAAATACTAAAATTGATAAGAAAAAAGAGATATCAAAGTCTGTCTTGATTATAATTAATTCACATGATCATGTGATTGAATATAAACAATTTATTGAAGTTTAGACTTTTTATTATGAACTAGTATACTGCATAATAATATATAGTATCTCTAAGATAAATTATTAATACAATCACTTTAGACATTCAACATAATTCATTCTAATCATATGAGTAAATTCATATAATTGAATTATATTAATTCACTGATTACTGTTGAATGTTTGAAGTGATTATATTAATAGTCTATTTCAAAGATGCTATATACTATTGTACAGTACACTAGTTCATAATAAAAAGTCTAGACTTTAACATCTTCTCTTGAACTAGCTACTGTTTTGCTTAAATTAATTATATTCATCTTCTTTGTCAATCTATCTCATTTTTCAATTGCTATATTCATTAAATTTTTTTCTTATTTTACTCATAATCTGACTAACTTTTCAAAACTTTTTCAATATTTGAAGAAATTATTGTAAAGAATGCTTGACTTAACTGACTTATAAATAGATTCTCTATATTTCTATTTTTACTCTTATCTCTATTCTTAGTCTTATTTCTATCTCTATTTTTTAATATTTTAATACACTTCTTATTATACTTTTATTATTCAGTACTTATAAAATTTGAGTTTTTGAATCAGCAGTATTTGATTATATACTCTATATTCTCACAGTAGTGATATTAACATTCATCAAATTATTTAGTAATGACATTTACAGCAAATAACTTGAGATGAGTTATAGTAATAGTGACATGAGTAATCAACTAATTTATCAATTCATCAAGATTCAAATTTTGAATAGAGCTCTGTTTGATGGTATAGAAATCATTCAACTTCAATTTAATAAATTTCTATTATCAGTCTCTTAGTTCTAGTATAAATAAATTATAATAGATATTCTTAGCTCAATTTTTACTTAGAGATATAAATTTTATTTTTAAATTTTAAAAAGTTGCAAGATAGATATGAAAATTATTATTTTTGAGCTGTAAATCTTTTAATTTTTTAATAATTTAAAGATATTCTTCTGCATAAGATATAGTATAGCATTGAGTAAGATTTTTTCATATAATTAGTGCTAGATAGAAATCTTCATTCAGTAATTCTAAAAAATCATATATAATTACATTCAAAAATTGAAAAATTCTTACGTAAAGAAGTTTACTTTTCTTATTTTAAAGCTCAATTTTTAGAGAAACTATAATATAAAATACTGTTTATTATTTGTTGAGAATATTTTTTATCTGAATCAAATAAATATCTGCAAGAATAAGGCTTTTTCATTTTAAATAATTAACTTTAGTGAGAATAACTATATGCTTTTCTTTCAATTTAATATTTTTATTTTTACAAAATTCATCAACTTTATTCTTGATAAAATTCTTAATAGTATTTGATAAAAAATCTAAGTTTTTCTCTAGTTTTAGTATAAGTCTTTTTATCTGTCTATTCTGTCTTTTTATGTATTTTATTATCATTTACATTATATTTATATTGTTTTTATTTATATTTATTTCATTTTTTAATCAGTTTCTTCTTTAGACTCAGAAATAGATGTATTATATTCATGTTCATCTCTATTCATGTTGTTGCTTGCAGACATATTCAATGATTCTATAGCTCAAGTTCTTGAAGACATCTGTTTACCTCTTTTTGATTCAATTTATTTTCTACAATTAAAACTTTCAAAATAGTCATTTTTTGTTAGATTTTTACTGAAATTTAGTAATGCAGTCTATGCAAAATGATTTATATCTTAGATTAAAAAAGAAGAAGAAATACAGTATGAAAGTAATACAGAAGACTCTTAAAAAATAATTATTTAAGTTATAATCTATTGAACATTTGAAGTGATTGTATTGATAGTCTATTTCAGAGATGCTATATACTATTGTATGATGGACTAGTTCATAATAGAAAGTCTAGACTCTAATAGTTACATATGAGGTATGATTATGTGAGGGAGATAAATCTAGCCTCAGTGCTGAGTCTAACATAAAACTAGCTATTTAACTTAAATATAATTCCACACTGAGTGAGACATCTCATTGAGTGAGATATTAAAATCATCATATTTCAACTAACTAGATTTTAATCTGAAATATTTACACTCACCTCTCTCTAATTAAATTAAATTAAATTACACTAGATTAATAGTATTTTATTCTCTTATGATCAGATAAATTGTAGTTGCTGTACTGCTGTGATGCTTCTGAGTATGATCTAAAACTCAAGAGACTACAGGCTCAGAAGATTGAATGACAGACTGTTCAACAGATACAGCAGATGAAATAATAAGATTCTGAAGTTTCTGCCTAGTGAGACTCTTTGTATATTGAATTTAACATTTAGATCTAGTCTATTTTTGCTTCTTTATCTTATTTATATTAAATATATTCTAATATTACTTCTTTAGAATAGTGGTGCTGATCATTTCATGTTTACAGATTTTGATAATTTGATTTTTGATAATTTAATCAAAGTCTTTCACAAAGTCTTGAGGCTGATCTTTCACTAAATATTTGATCTTATTTGTCTGCTGGTGTAATTGCTAGAGATTACTAGGTGTTTGAGTATTTATAATGTGGTTGAATTGCTAGAGCTGCTGCATAAGAGGATAGAAGTCTAGAGTTGAATATCCAGCTGCTGAAGAATGTAGTCAGATTGAAAGAGCACTATTTCAGTAGCTTTTAAGTCATTTTGAATAGTATGCAGTTTGAAGACTTCAGCACATGCTGTAGAATAAGTCTCTAAGAAATCTGTCTTCTGAATAGCATTAAATTCTAGCTGCATTTGCTGTTGAACTAGACCCTCATATGCTCACTTTAAGACTGTAAAAACACTCATATCTAGTAACTGTAAGAGATATAATGAATGAAATAGCATACAAAGACATATAATAGCATTATTCTTGTAGATTTGATTGAATTCTGAGATAAGATGACTGCCATATCTGTTCAGAATAAGAAGACTATGAGTGTCAATTCTGCATGAACTTGCAGTAGAAATAAACAGCATAGTAAGTCATTTGACTTCTATCTCATTCATAGTTCAATCATTAGAGCTAATATCAAGTCTTCAGCTGTCTGAAAGTCTGTTAAATCAGTCTTTCTGTAGAATCTGCTCTTTGAGAATGATGTATGAGGATAAAACTCATTCTAATATATTGACTGCCTCAATCATAATCATTCATTCATGATTCTCAGACTGTAAGAGCTTTGCCCAATCATAGCACTCAGCACTAGTGATGATCTTAGTAGTGGCACAGAGCCTTATAGCAAAGCCAGTTTCATCAAAGTTGTATATATTCTTTGATAGAATCTTATGCTCAGCAATTGTAGTCTTCAAGATTTTAAATCAATTCTGTATAACTCTGATATCTTCACATTTGACTTGCTCATGATTATAGTATCTGAAATAGCAACTTTGAAGCTTTGTACAGCATTTAATCAGTCTTGAAATCCAGTTCTTGCTGACCTAGAGAGGAGAGATGGTAAAGATGATGAAATTCTGTAATATAAGAAGATAATTAGTCATATCCTCAACAAATGCTGGCTGGGGGGGAAATTCTCATTTAACATGATTCAGCACTCATTCAACTAGCCTATCCTCTTCAGTTTGAGTTAATTTGTGTGAATTTGAGTGTAAATTCACCTGTGCAGGTCTGCCACTCAGTCAATGACCAAGAGTAGAAGATAAAACATCAAATAGATGTGCAGCTTCACAAATTGAGAGTTTTTCATCATTTTGAATAGATTTATTGCACGTTCAAGCCTCCCCTCTCTCAATAGAATTTGAAGAATTTTTATTGCAAATTGATGGCATAATTGTACATTGAAGTGAAAGAGAAGTTAAATTAGATGATATTTTGAAATGGTGTTCTCACTCGCTGGGGTGTCTCGCTCGGTGTGGAATTACATTATTGTTTAGAGAGTTAGTAATAATTCATTTTTAATATATCAGATTCATTGAAGGCGCATATAATTCTCCATCTATTCATAAGTATTCTTGATCATTTAGATTTTTTTTATTCTTAAAACATAAGCTCATCTGCTCTCTTAGCTAGTTAAGTTTACTCATTTGACTTCTCATGAAACAATTCTCACAACAGCACTGTTGACTTCTCAATCTCAGTGTTATCTTATAATATATTACTTAGTATCTTTTGTGTCGGTTAGCGGGGCGCCTAGCCCGCCAAGCCTTCCGTCCATTGGCCTGCCTTGTGCGCCATGCCTGTTGCGGTATCGCCGTTGCTGCTTCAGGGATGGTGCCTGTTTCGCCGCTTTTGCGCCATCTCACGCCGCCCCAACGCCGTCACTTGATCTATAAAAACCCGGCCTTGCTCCCTCGAACGACGACGTACTTTCTCGTTCTCTTTCCCCCTCGTCCTGTCTCTCACGCCCAGGTGCACTGTCCCCTTCCCACCCTTCCCCCTGCAGGGATGTTGCTGTGTTACCCGGCCTCTGCCCCTTTCTCCCTGCTCCCGCAGAGTCACCGAACGCCCGTCCGCCGGATCCAGACGACCGTTCTGTTGCTTCATTGGTTTCTAAGCCATCCACACCGCCCCTCACGGTGTTACTTCGCTCGCTCGGGTGATTGAGGCAGCTGGGGGCCTCCTGCAGCCATGTCGTGATGGTTTTCGTCAAGTCGTCCGATTCAGTGACTCTGGAGCAGCTGATGCATGTTCTCTTTCTGCTTCTGGTGTTTTCACGGCTCCTTTGCTCTCTTGATTTCCCTCAATTTCCTATGACTTTCTAGACTTCCTACACTTCCTTGGAGCCAGTCCATCGTTCGCAGCGCGAGCCTCAGCCAAGGGGATTTTCCTCTTCCTGTATGAAACCACTGTATCGGCCAGGCTGGATCGCCGGGCTACATCTCCCGTTCAGTGTCACCCTGGCCCACTGGGGCTGATTTCCACGGTCTTGCTTTTGTTCCCCGACCAATGCCAAAATTGCCGCATCCCTTTCGCCGCAGTATGCGTCTGCAAGCCAGGCCCAGGGGGGTAGTGTCGGGGAGTGCAAGTAGGACATGTGAACCTTGGAACTTGTGATAATTGATCATGATTGGCATAGGACATTGGGCATTGATCCCTAGGCGTCATTTCAGGAGTCATTTCCGACGGGGATAGCCACGTCAGCCTCCTCTAGCAAGGCTCAAGGAACGGAGGAAATCTCACCGTCATTTCTCTGGCATCGATACCCTGAAAGAAGCTATAAAGAGGTCAACCGATCTGGAATTGCGGGCACCTCATGACCTGATTTTCTCGCGCACACAGTCTCTCTTTGATCTCAATCCCTGCTCTTCTTCCAGTTTCCCGATCCAAAATTCTCACACACGTGAAAGATAGTATATCCAGCCCAGATGAACCCTACATTTCATGCGGACTTGAAGCTATGGGACCCCCCTCACCCTAAACCACTCCCCTCGTACAAAGACCCCCATTCACGTTCCCCGGCTGCCAGGCGTTCCCCTCCCCCTAAACCCCGTCATGATCCTCCCCGCCGCACCCTGCCACTTCCAAAACATCATCTCCCTAAAAGACCACTGGCTGAAGTTTGCGTCTCTCTTGACACCAGCACTTGGTCACGTACGCCATTGGCAGCCCAAGCTCAATCATGAGAAATATTAATACCGCCACCCGATCTGCCATCTTCGGAGAACTCCAAGCATGGAGCTTTGTCTCTGCACGATCTGGCATATCACACATCAAATTCCCCTCAAACTTCCGCGCGCGACACCCAGGCTATCACTGATATCCCGACTGAGCTGCCTCTCCTCGAGGGAGAGACTTTTGGGGGCTGGTCCATCATCGCCCAGTACGGCTAGCTCTGATGGCAGCTTAGAAGAATTCCTCAGGCTCCCAGTTCTCCAGAGCAACATTCCTATCGACCCAGAAATCATTGCTGACGTTCGGCCTTGGGAGACGAGCAACCTACACCAACCTGTCCGGCGAGGCGACAGCTTCGCGATACCGAAGGCAACCTGTCCATACCCTGAACCTCCTCTGTCTATGTTCTGTGATGCACCCTACTATCACCAAGGTTCCGAGGAGAGATTTAGCAGCTGGAATGGTAATGCTCAGATGGAAGACGGCCTTCACATCCAGGATCACCAACAATTGTACCCCTCCCAACACAGAACTGAGGCCGATGTGCCTTGCTCCAGCGGTGTGGATGAAGACTCCGGCGGCGAACCGTTCAAGAGCCTCAAGCGAGGGGCACAGGAATTGGAGGAACGGGCCATGAAGCGGCCTCGGCTTGCCTCAGCGTCGCTTGCCGGGGAAGATTCCTTTACCGCCCTTCGTTCTCACTTTCTATCTCTACGACTCGATGAGCGTCTGCAGTTTCTCTCTTGGCTGTTTGAAGGTGCCCTGGCGAGCTGCACGCCTGACTCCAATAAGAGCATGCGGCCAGCTATCTCAGATTCCCGTAAGGAGATCGAGCAAACTTGGCATGATCACAGTAAGAGGAGGAAGGCCCATGGAGACAAGATGTGGCGATGGTCCCCCGAGGACGATGCACGCCTTCTGAGCATGACGCAGGACCGTCGGCCCTGGCCGGAGATAGAGCGGTGTTTTCTGGAGAGGACAGAATCGGCCCTGCGCCAGCGGCAGTCGACCCTTCGAAGAAATAGGCGGGGGGTACGTTCGGCCGAACCTACTCCGATCACGCCGGTATCGGCAGCTGTGATATAATATACCTCTACGCGACATGGGAAGTATTGTATGTAATCGAGAAAAGGAGACGTTGCCGTGCAGTCCTTCATGTTATGCCAACTAGCTTAAGCGGAGCCCCACTACCGTGTATGGGAGAATTTACTGAGATTAAATTTTAAGCTATATCCTTCTCATATACACTGTTGCCGGCGGCTCCAGCCACAGTTATACAGTCCTGTTCACTGATAAAAATCTTGCAAACAAAGTGTTCAGCTCTAGAAGGAACTTCAAGCAAGCATTACTGCGACCTGTGGCCGACATGACTGACCGGCGCAAAAAGTCTGGAGAATGATTCACCCTGAACATGTTCCTTTCTCCTACTCCATGCTTTGGGAATCATAGATTTCATAGTCCTTCTCTGCGTAGAAAGAGGCTTTCCACACCATAAAGGTTTAGAGTCAATACCATAGACGCCCTCTTCTGTCTAATCCTTCCTTCATGTAAGCTGACATTAAGGTATGGTAGCCAGCCAACACACAAAAACTGTTCGTAACTTCGGTGCATCAGTTCATAATAGGGTCCTCGGCAGCCTTTATCGTCCGAATCGTTAGAGATTCTCGGAATGCTATGTAGGAGTTAGTCATAACTCAGTGGCCACGATGTGAATATTCCTGAAACCAGGAATGTCTCAGCAGCTGAGTCGCAGATTGGCGTTGCTGCGGAGAATTTTGAAGCATGCAGCACAGGAATGATCCAAACGTCTGAATGTCCTCCAGTAGAGATTCCGGCGGCAGCCGCTGCCTTAAATAATCCATAAAACTGGTGAAGTCTTTGCCAATGATCTCGGTAATGAGATTCTTATGGTTTTCATCAAACTGCTCCGCGGTCATTCCAAAACCCCCAATCGGAAAAAGGGGTTCATTTGTGGCCAGCTGGAATATCTACACCTAGGTGAGCTTTGCGAATTTGATCTATTGGGAGGCATCTTACCAAGCAACCCAAACACCATATATCAATGCCAGTATCCCAACTTTCTCGCCGAATGACTTCTGGTGCACGCATTGCTCTAGGAGTAACAGGCTGTTGTCCATGAAAAGAGTGTCTCCATGTTGCTGCTAATGGTTAACAATAATGTCCTCCTGCTCCATATGAGCGAAAATGAATATGGAAATGAAATTACCTCCACCAAAATCGCCAATCTTAACCTCAGTAGCAGAGACGTCCATCTGGTCAAGGGTCGCATGAATCCTCTGCGAAGGTAGCAGATATCGAGGGGCCGAGTTATCAACCGCTACTCCCTCCAGCCATTCGACTGGACTGAACTCTGGCTCTGAGAGAGAGAACCTGGCGTACGGGTTCGTAAACATGATATTTGCCGGCTGCAGATCTTTTGCAAGGTAAGTAATTGTTTAACGTCAATACAAAGGCAAACTTACCGCAGTGTATAAGGCCTGAAGCATGTATATACTCTAACCCTAGGATAATCTGATAAGAAACCGCTCTCAGCCAGTTTTTCTGGTGTGTGAGTCCTGGCTCTGTGTTTCACCATCACAGAGCATCACTGGAAATACAAGGCACAGGTGTGTTCCATTAGGGCCTTGGTGCTCGAAATAATCTAGCAGTTCTAGTACATTCGTCTTGCCAGCGTGCTGAACTTCTGGCCGGGACAGGTGAAGAAGGATTTCAAGCTCTTTGCTTTGCTGGGATGCTTTTGCTTTAAGCACTTTCATAGCCACCTGCTGCTGAAACCTAGGTAGTGTGTTAATGACAGTAAGAAATGTGCATCAAGATGGCTTACCTCTGGTCAACTGCGAGCCATGCTGTGGAAAACTGACCAAACGCCAATTTTCCAAGAACCTTGTACTTCTCATTGAAGACATCTCCGAGGTGCACTGGATGATAACCCCAATGACGATACTCCTCAACCTGCTCAACAACATTATGTATCCTCTGAAAACGACGCATCTCTTCGGATTCGGAAAAATCTTGTGTAGGTAGAAGAGAAGATTCTTACAACAAGTAGAGGTCAATTTATCCCCAGCCATTAGAAAGGGATGATGCAAGTCACATGATACCTCTACCCATGTTCCCTGCCAAGACACTTAGTGTATTGCTCTCCCGCCTCTCGTCGTTGAAATCGATATGGCTTAACGTCGAAAGTTGATCAAGTGCTAGAGTCGAAGACGGAGTTGAGCTACCTACTTCTCACATAACCTCCCTTCTTTGACTGACAATACCCTACCACAGTAGCTGTGAGGCGTTAAGAAAGAAAGACGGCACTCCGCATCTCTGCGCTGCTTCCGCTCGGCACTGCTATCTACTCTGACAACTCTCTGTGCAGGCACCGCCCTCCGCATCCCGTTCCGCTCTTTGTTCCCGCAAACAATTGACAGGTTACGCAAGGCTTGACTGTGTTAAGATAATTTTTTCCTCCGTATGAATCCTGGTGTGAGATGCAAAGAGCGGTGCCTGCAGAGAGCGGTGCTAGCTGAGAGAATCCTTCTCAAGTCAGAAGGCAAAGTTTGGATGATGTGTTCTTGTGCGCCCTGCTACCTTTTGAACGTGGTTGCATGCTAATTGTTGAGAGATAGATTTGGAATCCTTGACAAGCTCAGTAGGTATAAATCTATCCATAGTTCTCTCCTCAGAATTTCGGAATCATACACATATCCATCACTCAGATTGTTATCTTCTCAGTTTCCGAGATAAGTGATTTATGGGTGATAAATCCATAAGAATCACTTCTTTTGCATTCTGATTGCTAATTCATGGATTTAGAAGTAGTGCTTGTGGTACCTCCGTGAAATGGCAAATGGGCACCTTGAACTCCTTGACTATTAAGAGGTGACTTCTTGTCTTACCTTCGCTTTGGCCTATGATAACCGACCGAGGCCCCCAGTGCGGTCAGGCACCTCTACGTGGTGCTGGGGATTAGTATCTATGCAGAAATAGATTCTGCTAGAGAAGCTGTCCAAAAGAGCTGGTGAAATTTGACACAGTTTTGGTTGAGTTTTGTGGTCAACCACCACGGTGAAGAATTTTCGCCCACCCGCAGCGCACCACAGCTCCGACCACAAGCAGTTGAACAAAGGGATAATCAGGTCTTATTGCCTTGAGATCTTCAAGGTTATCAATGTACAGCTGCCAAACATACGGAAAACAGTGTCCTCCTCCCTCCTACCACGCGGATCCGAGGAAGCCCAGCTGGGGCCTATTACCGAGGCCCTCATAGCTGACAAGTACATGTACGACCGCCGAACATATGGAAAACTGCCTCTTCCCAACTTATCGAACAGAAGGATGGCTAGATCTTTTTCTTGTCTGGGGTCTTCACAGCTATTGTCGTACGAACACCAAATATACAGAACAACATCTATGAATGCTGTTTCCCCAACAGGTCACTGGTTTGGGGCCGGTTTGTGACCTGGCTACAGTCGTTCCATAGCTGGACTTGATCTCTTGCTGGCAGACATTTCGAAAATCTCTATCTGCACCTGCTTCAACTTCTGCTTGGCAATCTGCTGAATCTTTCATATCCCGGGAGGTTGAGACTGTTTGCTCTGATACTCTTCAGGCAGATCTTCCACGGCAAGTCCCTGGGGAAGGAGGCAGAGGAGCTAGAACAGCCTGAGGTGAAGCCCCGTGACTGCTTTCCCCGCTCCGGGTATATATATGGGCTCCCTCCCACCCTGAATCCATCTTTCTTTCACTTCCTTTTCCACTTCCCATCCTACCCCCGCAAGATTGAGACCAGCTGAGGGGTCCTTGTGTGGTTCAAGGCGACCGAGCAGACGTGCCACTCCCGGGGTTCTCCTGATCTGAAATTGCCTTCTTGCTGTACGAGCCTTTCTGAGTCGACCTGGCACACCAATCTTTCAACCATGGCTTTGACTGAACCTGACCTTCTCCGCAATCAGCTTCGCGACGCCATCATCATCGATGGTTCAGATGCAGAGGTGGATGAACCCTGGTCCCCACCGCGAAAGCTATGAAAAAAGAGATCCCGTACGGACTACAGCTATGCAATGTACGAGGCTCTCTTTGACAGCTCAGCACCCTCTGATGTATCCGAAACATCGCAGCCACCGAAGAAATGTAAAGTGCCCAACTTGGGCACAGTTTTGGTAGAACTCTTCTCTTACAAGACCGTTTGTATGCTGATATTTGAGATTGGAAATAGCAAACCAGGGAATCCGCAGAGTTTTCGAAGCCGAGCATGCAAGGATAAAAGAGCTGGAAGAAAAAGTGCGATACTTGCGTGCGGAAATGATTAGGGAAAATGAGCAGAGAAGCAAGCTTGAGGCCAAAGTCCGCGAGCTGGAGCATCAATGTCAATGTTCAACATGTTATATCATCCCACTGGAGTGGAAAACCCTTCTATGTGGACATAGGTTTTGCTCAGACTCCTTTCTCCTGATACAACAACCTGTGGATCATGTCATCAGGATATTACCGGTTATATCAAGAGTTACTAGATGGGAAATACTTTGTCTCGGCAAGCAGCTCTCACCTTGGATACCAAGGTTGTGTCCGATAGCCTGCATCCTCAAGGATGATAATAATGTGTGGTTCTCACACTTCTTTAATCATGTTAAGTTACAAAAAGGAGAATACTCATAAACTGGGACTGAAAACACTCAATCTTAAAATTTGCCTGATCTAGAATCTATTATTATGATACAAGCCTAGAAAGGCTAGACGGATTATTGAAATGCTAGTGTCTCCTGAATGCGGCCCCGCACAACAGTTCCATGGGCAGTCTCTGCGTGGTTCAAAAGAGAAGATTTGGCCGGGAGCACCTCCCTCTCACAAACATTGCACTCAATCCCGTTAGCAGGCCATGGAGGGTTCACGTGCCTTCGAAGGAAATGCCTCGTGAGTGATCCGGGCGTTGCGTATTCCTTGATCCGGTCCTTGAGCGAGCAATTAGGATTCCCAACGCAGAGAAAGCAGACCCGAGGCCGCTGCTCTTTTTGTGAGTCCATTCGTGGGTCAATCCGCACGGAGTCCATTGCTTTGCGCAAAACAGTTTCGGTATCGTCCTCTGTCAAGCGCCGCTGCCGCTTGGTTGGAGGGGAGATGTCATCATCATCATCATCATCAGGCACCGGCCGTCCGTGGGACTGGGTGGACCGGCGCGACGGTCGTCCTTCTTCCACACCACAGAATGCAACCCCTGCGTTGATTGTGTTGATTCGCCTCTGGTATTCTGCTTCAAGGGTGGTGCCCGGCATGGCCAGCACGCGGTCCACAAACACCAGGTGCTCAGGAGGCATGAAGCCTCCCTGCCCAAAGGTGTCCATGACTTTGGTATCCACCAGCTTCCCGGCCAGTTGTCGTTCAAGGTCAATCACAGGCTGCTCGTTCTTATAGCGTTCAAGATTCTCACGGATCCGTCGGATCCGCTGCCGTTGCTTCTCATTACGTAGCTCACGCACAGCCCGGCGGTGCTCTGACCCGCTTCTGCTGCCCGATCGCGGAAAAGTTCCAGTTTCTCCAGCACCTCAGGGTGGGACTCGGCGAGCGCTTTGTCGTCAAGGTGCCCAAAAGCAGTCTTGCACACCTTGTTGACACGTTCCAGCTCAGCTTCGCGATCCTCCAACTCCTGCTTGCGCTTCTTGACCGTATCCTGCCGGGCAAGGACAATTGGGAGGTTATTGAGGGATCGCGATTCTTCAGGAGAGAGCTTATACGGCCGGTTGGGGTCGATTGACGCACTCATTGAGCAGGCAAATCGCACCAACGCTGTTTGGGAGCCTGTTTTCCGGACGATGCCCTGGACGTCGACGTCGACATCCACCTGGTAATGTTTGACAAAGGTGCGGATATCCGCGTGCTGGAGCATGACGTTCTGGAGAGCCTCCGAAACTTCCTCTGCTCACTGTTAGCCCTTTGACGTAACTGAAACACAAAGCGACCGGAGGGTACTCACCGCTGTTGTTAAAAGCCTTAGCTCCAGCATATCGGAGATTGTGCGGGTGGGCGACCTCCTCAAAGCCTGTGATCTCACCAGCCCTACGCATGCGGGATCTTACCACGGCTGCAGTCAACATCCAGTCCAAGCAAATTTGAAATCCAGTGGGCGTTGGCTCTGTCTGGCAAAACACAAACTTATCCAGAAATTCATCCTGTAGTAGTAGCCGCTGCTCTCCCTTTCCCTCCAGCACGTTGACACTGTAGAGTTTTTCTGCCGAATCCAACACCGGCCCAGTGGTCGAAATTGACTTGAAGCCTTTGATATGAAAGAGCATAGTCAGCAAGGTGACATGCGGACTGAGAACCAGAGTTGGATCAAAGATGATCTCGGGAATTTTAAACTCGTTCCTATTAGTTCTGTCAGTCAACCAGGCGGCGCCGCGACAACTAGAAACCCATACGGCGCCTTATCTCCCAGGAATCTTTTTGTAAATTCTGGCTTTAAGTATATGAACAGCCAGGGGCGTCCACCGTCGGGGTCTCGGATCAGGGTTAGGACGATGTCTCGATACCGAAGGTGGAGGAGCGCCGACGGACGGCTGGCGATGATGGCTGCAAGCTGCAGGAACAACAGAAATTGAATGCGCTGCCAGCCACAGACAAATGTCATCTCTGTGGTGGTGAGGACGACACGGGCGAACTCAGCAACATCTTCAATGTACATGTTCTTCTTTGGCCGCCCCACGAGCTCCAGCTCCTTCTCCTTGGCCACCTGTGCCTACAAGAGAGATTAGCAATGCTTCTTGTGGGGTGCTCTGAAATGAGAAATGTAGATCCTCACATCTTCCACCTTGACAATCGTATCTTTGCTGAGTCCGGACGCTGTCTCCTGTTTGAGGACAAGGTGCCACCACTTCCAAAATGTCTCCAATGAGCTCTTGCGTTTGATGCCCGGACAGTGACGGTTGTCCTTGCCATGGCGGATATCGCATCGCCAACTAAGGAATGAATACAGGAAGCGAACAGTCTGGTCTGAGTCTGAGATCTCGCTCCATTTCTTCGCCGCGTTAGCCTTGATGTGCCGACAATACCTGCTCGGAGGTCCTGGTGAGCTTCAAACATGGTCCAAGGGTCAAGGGAGCCATTGCCTACCTCTCCCAGTAACCACGGGTCTCATCCAGCTTCTCTTAGGTGTTGGGGATGTACCGCTTCTGTCGAAGCTGGGTGATATCAAGACTCTCAGCCAGGGCGAGATAGTGTTCGGCGGGAAGTTGACCCTCGTCGTCATCTTCATCCTCGCTGGCAGCGCTGCTTTCATACCCGCTGTCTGAATAGCTGACCTCCAGGGCCGCTATGGCATCCAGGACGGAGATAACATTGCTCTGGCTTTTGCTCCCTTCATTGTCAGGCCCAGCCGGGCGAGAATGACGCGCCATGATCGAGACCCAGGGAAATTCGGCCACAGAGAGAGCCAGAATGAGAAACTGAGTACGTACGTGCTCTCATGCACAAGAGATGCCCAGAAGAGCTACAAGAGCGACTCTTAGGAAGAAGAATGGGAAATCGAAAGGACATGACCAGGGCCACAGAGCCTGGAACCGGAGAGAACATGATGGTTGAAGGGGGAGCTGGAATTGGCATGGTGAAGCGTCAAAAACGGCTCCCCCCTCCGCAGGGTGAGCGAGTGGGTGAGCAAGGGTGAAGGAGGGCCACGAAATTCAGCGCCAGGAACCACGGATATCGTGGGCGTGCGTGGAGAAAAGGGCCGTTGTCGTGGTGATTACTTCACGTGATGATCCAGGGTCGGCGCTTAGCAGGCGTCGAAAAATGGCAGCGAGAACCGCCAGTTTCGGCCGCCGGCTAACCGTCACAACGTTATATACAATATTCATAATATATTTTATATGAATCTTCTTTAATGAGTTGCTACTGATTTACTTTTCTGATAAAATTAAAGAAATTAATATTTATTAGAGTTATATAGAGAATAATAAATTTGAATATAAAATAGAAAAAATTTACAATAAGTAAATCGCTGCTGTTAAAAAAATACTTGTAAAATGAGTTGATTATACTTAGCTGATTTAAAAGTCCAGATTTATATTAAAAAATAATATCATACTCACTACATATAAATCATCTGTAACTACTGATCACTCTCAATGCTTTCTTTACTATTATTGAGAATATTGATATTTCTATGAATAGAGAAAAATATTAGAAAAGATTATATTCTATTCATATAAATTTTTATTATTTTTATATAACTTCTTTATTTTCATTTGAATTTCTATTCTTCTTATTTAACTTTTTTTTTATCAAGACTCTATCTCAGAATAGTATTTATTTTCTTTTCTTTATATTTTCTTTTAATAAATTTTTGTTTAAATATATTAGTTATTAACTATTTTTAATATCTAGTTTATTATATATAAATTGATTCTTTAATGATTAAATTTTAAAAAACATTAAGAACTAAATCTTTCTTATAAAACAATTTTCAACTTTTATTATTATAAAATTAAGAAGATTTAAGAAAAACATGAGCATAATATTTAAAATTAATGATATAAATATAACATTATCTCAATATTTAATGTCAATATGAAATCATATCTTTCTAGTAAATACATATATACTTGCAAAAAATAAAAAATAAAAAGAAAAAGAAAAAGAAAATAATAGCGAAAAATAAACAGCACATGGTATGTGACCCTGCTCACTATGCATTCCTCTTGCTCGATCGATCCTTGGAGCAATCTGACGCTACTTGTAGAATGCTGGTCTGGTGTAAGCTTGTGAATCAACGAAGACGCTGACAAAGGAGAAAAAAGGGAGGGACATGCTCTCAAACTTGTGGCCTTCCTCCCTAGAGCTAGCCACTGTCCATTTCTTCGACGAACCCTCCTGTTGAGACAGTTCAACCACTGCAGCTATGATGAGAATGTGCTTGTCTCTGTGAGCCGCACATGGCGGACAGACCCTGGGCACAACCTCATCCGGCCCTGGTTCTGCCACACAGTTGGGCCTTTGCCCACATATGGAGTGTATTTTGTTTCTCCTCATACACCCACATGCAAAAGATTTTGTCGCTATCTCACACGTATTCGAAGGTGGTAAGGCGATATGTATATGCCTTTAGGATCATTATATAATGAGATGTAGTTCGAGGCTCTAAAGGTTGGATGTAGATTTGGCATATAGAACTGGATGTGATGTGAAGAAATAATGGAGCAAGAAGAAAGAAACAGAAAACAGAAGAAATTTATAGCCCTAGAGGAGGGACCTAGGCTCTGTATGAGGTTGGAACTTTCCATTGTTTGCAAAATTCAACCTAAGGTAACTATATCGAACCAAGTCGACGCTGCGCAACCACGCGATGAGAGTGTATATTCAGTAGCATCCCAATAGAGATGAGGCAGAAAATGTGGCGACAGTAAATCTATCAAAAAGGGATGATTGCAGAGAGCAAAGAGCCTCAGCGCTGTCCATATGGTGATTAGCATCACTTCTTAATTTTCGCGTAATTTGCATCGCGCATTGGGAATCAACGGGGAAACATCCAGAGAGGTGGGGTTAAGGGAAGACCCAGTTGGGGCTGAAAGTGGTAAATTCATCCAATCAGTCTCGTTATATACATCATTCTTTTTGGCTCTGGGATGCTTTCCGCTGTCACTTTGTGTGCGGGTGACTTATGTGTTTGGGGTGCATGAGTATATCGAAGTTCCATTCAGCGTGGCGGATTTCCCCAAGGACGGTGCGGACAGGGGAGAAATGCCGAGAAGTAGGATATGGACAGACCCCATTGCATGTACAAGTCACCGTCGTCAAAGTCTCTGGTCGTCATTGGATGGAGAAAGAAAAAAAAAGGATTACGGTGATATAGGAAATAGGGCCTCTGGAGTGGGCTAAATGATTCACGGAATCTTCCGCATCTGTAGGGCCCGCGCCCTTAATGTATAAGCTTATTGTAAACTGCAAAGTTGGCCAGCTGCTTGGCATCTAGGTAGGTACCTAGATATGTAGCCAGGCTGTCAGGTGCTGGTTGTTGCAAGTGCACCGGAAATGGGGGGGAAAGTTTCGATGAATTGAGACGACAGTAGAAGGCAAATAACATAAAGAGAGAATAGGAAAAGAGGAAAGAAGAACAGAGAAGCAGAAGCAGTGGAAGAAGAGGGGGTAAAACTCAAGCGCATGGATGCAGCCAGCTATCATAAATTAGGCTGACTGCACGGCTAGTTGTCGTGGAGATTCCATGAGCAAGTCCATGGTTTGGCGCTGCACACAAAGGCAACCCACCTGCAGGAAGAAGCCGTAAGGAGAAGTAAATATGAAAATAATATAAGAATGATATGATGACTTAAGACAGAGGTATCAAAAAGAGAGAGAACATGACTTTCAGAGTAGACATAACTGAAAAGAAAAACAAAATTGAAGAACAAATTAGTTTGAACGTATCTCAAACAACCACTCCAGTGGAGCATTGATGAATGGGCTCCAGTACTGTGACGGCCTTTCGCAATTAAAACCAGGAGGGAGTTTTAATAGCATACGTCACGGGTTCTGGACAGCGAAAAAGATTCTCTCCAAGTGGTTTCTCTGTGGGGGGAATAGTCGCCATCATTACAGGTTTGCTAAGGAGGCATCAGACCATGGGGTATTCTCCCCTTTTCGAATTCAGGGGCTATACAGCATGTTCTTGCTGTGCGTTTGTGCCAAGATGAATGTAAAAGCATAAGTTAGTTATCGATGTGTGCTTCTTTGAAAATACATGGAAGATATAATGGAAGAGGAGGGGAGAATGGAAGAGGAAAGGATATCGTATCAACATATGTGTTTAGGCTCCTTGATCTGACAGCTGGCGATATATGAGTGGATGAAAGGCCATTGTGGAATGGCTTGGAGCAACACAGAGTTACATCTTTACCACGAGTCCTTGATCTCGGCATTATTTCAAGGGATTCAGATTTCAGTGTTTCACAACAATAAAAGCCAACCATCTTGCTCTCACTTAAGAGGGTGCAAATATGAATCTGATGCCATGTTTGGTGACTAGACATGCTTCTCGCACTATTTTGAAAAAGGGGCCTTAGTTTTGTCTGGTTGTGGGTGGGTGCAGCGTTTACAAAAGCCTATATCTTTTCCGCTCATATCATTCTAACCTCGACCGGTCAGGGGCAATTGGCTGGCAATCACTGCAATGGCCACAATGCTTACAGCACAGGAATAGGAAACAAGGAGGCATGTGAGAAACTCTGACGACAAAGAAATCAAGACAATCATGAAGGTGATGAAGGAACTCATATTTTTGAAAGCTGGATAATGCAGTCCATAGGCTGTTGTTTCATGCTGCTATCTCGAAGGCCTAGCATTTAATTTCATTAAATCCTAGATTTTGTTTCATATAAGATCAAGGGGTGATATCGAGGTGTCAAGTCGTTGAATCAACCGATTCCGTAGAAACATGTCCTCTACCCATTCAAAAATGAACATTAAAGTAGAAGGGAGGACTTGACCAATTCTGACCTTTGGGATTTCTTTTTTTCAAAAAAAAAAATAAATAAATAAATAAAATAAATAAAATAAAAATAAAAATAAAATAAAAATAAAATAAAAAGAGAAGAAAAAAGGAAAAAGAAGGAAAAAAAAGACATAACTGAAAGGAAAGAAACAAAGCTTTTAACAGCAGAAACTCACGACAGAGATCTTGACATTCTATGGCTCTTCCCCATCTCAACATCAAACACTTAACATGCATCCATGGTAAAAAGCTCTCTCTTCATTTCAAGGAATAAGAAGAAGTTTTCCAGACCACCCTTAACAGCAGAAGCAGGAAAAGAACAAGAAAGAATGAAAAAAAGCTAGGAAATCCATTTTAAGTGCAAAAGTTAACAACAAATCACAGACATCCATATGAGAGCGTTGTGAACAACATTAAAATTGAATGGCATAAAGGTAGAGAAACTAGAGCTTGAGACTCAAACAAAAGAGAAGCGGACGGAAAAGTAGTTATCACCCAATCTTCAAACAACCTTTACATAACACCTACTTCGTTAACATTTCCGAACACACTCTTATCTCCGCATCTGCTCCCTTTCAACTTCATACATGAAATCAAAATACGGCTTATCGAAATGGTGGACACGGACGTATCCGTCCTCTCCACCAGATGCATAGGCTGTCCCCAACGGATGCGCGGCGATTGTGTTGAGGGGACCGAAGTGGCCCTTGACGCGGCCAATCTCGTCCTCGAAGATCTTGTGGTAGAAGCGGGCTTCGAATTTACCCTGGCGGGCATCAGTCGTGGTGACGTCCATGGCTGCTTGGCCGCCGCCGAGAATTACGAATTCTTTCTTTACAGTGAGGGCGGCGGTGTTGAGCGGTGTGTCTGCTACGTAGGTTTTGAGGATGGCGAGGTTTCGGGCGGAGATTATCTGGGTATTGATGTTAGTTGTATGTTTCGGTAAATTTTCTTTGTCTTCTTTTATAATTTTGAGACGGAATGGAACTGGGACGTACCTTGGCACTCTTGTCTTTGGATGCAGTGATGAAGTATGTTCTGTCAGGTGAAAATTGAATGTCGTTAATTTGGTAGTCGAATTCATGGGCTTGGACGTTTTCGAGTTGTTCTCCGGTCTGTGATTACGATGAAAGTGTAAATATAGAAAAATGAAACACATGCCCAACAAAACGTGCACATAGATCCTATCGTGAGTCGTACCTTCGCGTCATATTGGCTGACACTACCATCCTCGTGTCCAGCAATGATATATTTCGACAAGAAACTCCACCCAGCAACCGTTGCTTTGCTCTCTTCGCATGTAATCTTCAGTGTAGGCTCATCAGGCTGGTCATCCAAGTTGTTTCCATTTTTGTCTCCATACCGTATATCGAACACCACAATAGTAGCCAGATATCCCATGCGCTTCTCGGTCACGCCCAGCAGCCGCTTGCCATCCACGCTGAACTCCACCCGCTTGACAGCTGTAGGGAAGTTCCAGACCTTAACACACTCGCCCGTCTTCGTATTCCAGAGTCTGATGGTGTTGTCTGCGGCACCAGTAGCAACGAGAGCACTATTTGGAGCGACATCGACAGTCCAAAGGGCACCCTGGTGTCCGTGGTATGTGCCTAATCTTTCGCCATTGGCGGAGAACCAAGCGCAAAGAGTCTTGTCCTTTGCCACTGAGAACAGAAGATCACCATCACGGTTGAATTTTATTTGATTGATAGACCGTTCCTACAAATTCCGCACACGTTAGCCGGGAAAGAAATTGGAACAAAACATGGGGCTAGGTTGCGGAGAAGGGAATGAATTTAAATGGGCTTGCCGTACATGGCCTTGGAGTAAGATGGGTCTCATATTGACTGCAGCAGATGTCCGGTAGCAAATTCAGGAGAACAAGCTGTAGCAAAGTATATAGTAGATACTGTAGACGCTTTCTACGCTTAACGGACAAGCTTAATAGCTGCAGAGTGGATGTGTCAGAAGTTGGAGGGGAGATGGTGTCTTTGTATATGCATCTGTATCTCGTTGATCTACAACCAAAATATAATTTCGTCGCACACTCTGATTTGATGCCAAGAGTTATGTTACCATACGCGGGTATTTCGAGGCAATATCGGGATCCGGGGCTACAATAGGCCGAGAGAAATTTAAACTCAATCCAACTGCAGAAATTTGAATGTTAGTCATCGATTCTTGGGATCCTGGAGAAAACATCGTAGGAAATTTTTTTTATTAAAAAATAAATAAACAAAAGAGAAAAAATAATATATAAAATAAAAATTGAGAGTGCAAATTAGAGATAATTCAAATAATATTTTATAGTGCGAGATGAATATGCACTAAAAATTGACCTGCTCAGTACTCCGTATATAAGTCACCAATCTGGATATGAGAGTGAGACCAAGACGTTAAAACTGTAGCGTTGTAAATCTCTCACTGGTCGATCAAGGTCAAGTCTTTTTCCTCATATATTTGAGCCTTTCAGGTTAGGCACCCGCACAATTTAGTCAGGCAATTCAGCTTGCTGGCGCCAACAAAAAGTTTGGCGTAGGAGCCGCCCCAGCCTCGAGAAGCAGGATATCATAGGATATCACTAAGCAGCTCACAGGCCAGACCGAGGGCCATGCCGGTGCCCGCTGCAACAGGTTTTGCGTGTCGAGCCCATCCACTCCATTTCCCGCCGATTCCCCGCCATCGACACCACCAGCCCAATTCACTTTCTCGACCCCACCCCATCGCTCAGTTTCACGCCCACCACGGCACTAGACTGGCAGCAAGGCGTTTCTCTTCATTTCCTATCAGATCTCGTCTTCTCTCCGTCCCTCATTTTGCGACTGCTCACGTCCACAAACTCGACCCCGCCAACGATTCACTATCACTGTGGGCGGGAAAACGCTCCTTTTCATCTTCAAATTCTAATATGGCAGCTATCAAAATCGATGGCACAGCGATTGCCAAAAATATCAGGGAGCGATTGAATGCTGAGATTCAAAAATCTCAACAAACAAATCCCAGATTCAAGCCCAGCTTGGTAATTTTCCAAAGTGTGTATTAATCAATTTTCATGGCATAAAATCCTCTGCGTACTCGTCACAAGGTTTAAATGAAATTAAAGCTAATTGGATTTTCTTTTAACACTTAGTTGGAGACAGATCGGATTCCAGTACGACAATAGACCATGTCTTGCCCTAGTTTAAACCTTGAATGTAGACTGACCGTAATATAGGTACATATGTGCGGATGAAACTGAAAGCTGCACAAGAGGTATGACCCTCCTCCCCACCCATTCTCCTACTAACTGGAATAGATATTGACTGCCCTTACGACCTCATTACAATAGGCAAACATCCAATGCCAGCTCACTAAGTTTTCTGAAGAAATCAGTGAGCTTGAACTACTTCAGGAGATCACCCTTGTGAACAACGATTCTTCCGTCCACGGCATCCTCGTCCAACTGCCGCTTCCAAGCCACCTTTCTGAACATACCATTACATCTGCAGTTGCTGGTGAGAAAGATGTTGATGGATTCGGAGCTGTCAACATTGGAGAATTGGCCAAGAGAGGGGGCAAGCCTCTCTTTGTTCCATGCACTCCCAAGGGGGTTATGGAGCTCCTGAAAGTCTCTGGCATCGAGCTGGCTGGCAAGAACGCCGTGGTATTGGGTAGAAGTGATATCGTCGGCAGTCCTGTTAGCTATTTGCTGAAGAGTGCAGATGCCACGGTCACTGTCTGCCATTCGAAAACTAAGGATCTCGAAAACATCATCAAGCAGGCAGATATTTTGGTTGCTGCCATTGGAAAGCCTGAGTTTGTCAAGGGATCATGGCTTAAACCTGGCGTCGTTGTCATTGATGTTGGCACCAACTATATTGATGACCCAACGAAGAAATCAGGCCAACGGTTAGTTGGTGATGTTGAGTACTCTTCTGCCGTTGAAGTGGCATCACACATCACTCCAGTTCCCGGAGGTGTTGGCCCTATGACCGTAGCTATGCTTCTCCAGAACGTCGTTAATTCCGCGAGAAGCTACTTTGAGAAACAAAAGGATAGACACCTCACTCCCCTACCTCTTAAACTCCAAACACCAGTTCCTTCAGATATCGCAATATCTCGGGCCCAACGCCCTAAGCCCATCACCACTGTCGCTGCTGAGATCGGCATTGCGCCTCAGGAATTAGAACCATATGGGCATACCAAGGCCAAGGTCACCCTTGACCTTTTGGACCGTCTATCTCACCGTCGTAACGGACGGTATATCTTGGTGTGCGGAATAACACCAACTCCTCTGGGGGAGGGAAAATCTACGACTACCATGGGTCTTACCCAGGCGCTTGGCGCTCATCTTAACAGAATAGCCTTTGCCAACGTTCGACAACCTAGTCAAGGACCTACCTTCGGTATTAAAGGTGGTGCAGCTGGAGGAGGTTACAGTCAGGTCATCCCCATGGACGAATTCAACCTTCATTTGACTGGTGATATTCACGCCATTACCGCCGCAAACAATTTGTTGGCTGCAGCTATTGAAACAAGGATGTTCCATGAATCCACCCAGAGTGACGCCGCCCTTTACAAACGGTTGGTACCAGCCAAGAATGGAAAACGCGAGTTCCAACCTATATTTTTCAGAAGATTGAAGAAATTAGGAATTACAAAGACCAACCCAGACGACCTCACCCCGGAGGAAATCAACCGCTTCGCGAGGTTGGACATTGATCCTGAAACGATTACCTGGCGAAGAGTTCTGGACGTCAACGATAGACATCTGCGGGGGATCACCATTGGCCAGGCCGCCACCGAAAGAGGCCACACTAGAGAGACTGGCTTTGATATTTCCGTTGCAAGTGAATGTATGGCTATTCTAGCCCTCAGCAATGATCTTGCCGATATGCGCGAGCGTCTGGGCAGGATGGTGATTGCTACATCCAAGAGAGGAGATCCCGTGACTTGCGACGACATTGGCTGCGGGGGTGCCCTAACAGCTCTGATGAAAGATGCCATCAAGCCAAATCTCATGCAAAGTCTTGAGGGAACACCGGTTTTTGTCCACGCCGGTCCCTTCGCCAATATTAGCATTGGTGCCAACTCCGTGATTGCCGATAAACTTGCCTTGAAACTTGCTGGAACTGAGCCAGACGAGGACCATGAAGCGAAGACCGGTTTTGTCGTCACCGAAGCTGGCTTCGACTTTACAATGGGCGGAGAGCGGTTTTTCAACATCAAGTGCCGCTCATCAGGCCTTGTCCCAGACACCGTGGTCATCGTCGCCACCGTCCGCGCAATCAAAGTTCATGGCGGGGGCCCCCCTATTGCCCCCGGCTCCCCATTGGCAGAAGAATACAGGACGGAAAATACAGAGCTCCTACGAAAGGGTTGCGTCAACCTAAAGAAACATATCCAAAATGCCAAACAATACGGTATTCCCGTAATAGTCGCCATCAACAAATTCGAGACTGACACCGACGCTGAAATCGCCGTGATTCGCGAGGAGGCCATTGCTGCAGGCGCAGAGGACGCCATCCCTGCCAACCATTGGGCTGAAGGTGGTGCCGGTGCCATCGAGCTAGCTAAGGGCGTCATCATTGCCAGCTCGAAGCCCAAGGATTTCAAACTCCTGTATGATCTTGAAGGTACGGTTCAGGAACGCATCGAGCGTATCGGGAAGGACATGTATGGTGCGGAGAAGGTGGAGTTTAGCGAACTGGCTCAGAAGAAGGTCGATACATATACCAAACAGGGATTCGGAAACTTGCCCATTTGCATTGCGAAGACGCAGTATTCGCTCAGTCACGATCCGAATCTCAAAGGTGCTCCCACTGGATACACTGTGCCCATTAGAGATGTCAGATTGGCTGTTGGTGCAGGATATCTGTACGTATTGGTCTTCTATACTCACCATAAACATATTTCCCAAGGAAGATACCACTGCTAACGAGATTACTAGATATGCCCTTGCCGCCGATATCCAAACCATCCCCGGCCTGCCCACCGCACCAGGTTACCTGAATGTCGATGTAGACGCTGAGACAGGCAAAATCGACGGCCTTTTCTAGAGACTTTCTAAGCATTCCTCCCTTTTCCTTCACCAACGAAACCTCCCTCCTCTCAAAATGTTTGGATTCTTCTCAACAATCAACTTCATATATATACCACCTCCATTCAACAGGTCAATCCCAGGTGGATTTCTAGGTTCTGGAACCATCTTGCCGTAGCACTACTAAGAGATAAAGGCAAGACATGCTGATAGACGAATAATTCTGTCTGTCGATTCTGTTTAGCATTTTCTTGTACATTCCCCGCACTCGCTGAATTTTGAGGATTTCGTACATGATTATTTCCTACGGATACTTCATCCACTAGCTTCATGATTGAGATTAAAGTATCATTTTTCTTCTGTTTTCTTTATGTTTCTCTTTCTCTTCTACTATTATTCCTTCTTAGCCTTATACTTTCCATTCTTCTCTTCGTCCAAAACCGATGCTAGCGCCTGTTGACCTTCCTTTCAAACTTTGTACCTTTCTCCGTTTCAATATTTCCCTCCTGGCTTCTTTTTCAACATCTCGAGTTTATATCTATCTTATTCCCTCATATTGCCACCCGTCCTATATTTCCCGGGTCTGGCACATCCCAGCCTCACAGGATGAGCGTGTACCAAGTTATACACACAACAAGAGATAACATACTTACTAGCTAAAGAAATGAAAGAAAAGATGAAATGACTCACCCCCTTTTTTATATTTTATTTATAACTTTCCTCTCGCCAATTTCAAATCACATTCGGTTATGCGATTCTAGAATTAATATAAATACAAAGTCCGTCCAAGGAGCAGGTTCCAGTTGATTTTTGAAAAAAAAAAAAAAAAAAAAAAAAAAAAAAACACCTCCCAAATCCTGCTCCGTATAGATCACATATTAAGGCAACCTTGTCACACAGAGAGATTGTTGGCAAACTCAGAACACACTCTCAACCACCACCACCACCATCATCATCATCTAAGCGTGGAACTCGTCGGATCAGTCAGTCAATCTCCCATCCCCTCAAGGAACTCAAAAGTGTTATCCCCAACCCTTTCCCCTCGTTGGGGGTTCTTGAAAATTTAAAACCCCTCCCAACCCAACCCAACTCTCGAAGAAGCTAGAAATGTTAAAAGAACATCTAAGATCCCATAATGCCATTTCTCAGGGAGAATGCTCTTTCCAAGTAATAGCCATGGAAGAAGAAGTGGGGTGGGGGGTGTGTGGTTAAGAAGCTTATGATCTCCTGGCAGCCATAACGATGAGCAATGCCGCCATTGTTTGCCGTGGGCCTCGGGAGAGGGATATAGAGAAACGAATAATCATCACTGATATTTGAAGGAGAGTGATGCTATTATACTACCATACTATAGCAAGTCATTCTCCGGCGATTGCAGACGGCGGGGTAAAGGCGTTAATTCTTGTAATTACCGTTTCACTATGGTTAGTTACCCATAGATGGATTTAATATTACTGGGAAGTTGAAGATAATAGATAGATATTTTGATGCGCAAGATGCGGTTAGAATAGCGCCGAGGAGTTAGAAAATCTCAATGAATTCAAGAAGTGTAACCGGTTACCTAATGAATTTTTTCAGTGTTCCCTCACCACAGCTGGAAGGAACTGCAATTCAGAAATAGTTCAAAATTTCTGAGGAAATGATAAATTACTATATTTGTTGTACAGAACTCTACGAAGGGGGGTAATAGCGCCTTATGTGTGATTCTCAAGTTTTAAGGTGCAATCAATCAAGGTCAAGCACAAGACCTACCTAGGGGGCGGAATTAATATAGGAGCATAATGCAAGCGGAATTCCAATCTCACAGCGGAAAATGTAAAGAGTGCGCAAATGCATCTTTGAACAATAACACAGCTGTCCGTTGCTTATCGATTCCTTTCCGAACAGCTCGAGAGAGATGGGGAGGGTGGGAAAGCAATAACGAGGTGAAAATCGGGCGCTAAAATAGGTTGTGAAATAGCCACAATTTTCAAGGGCTAGTTAACTTAACCAACAGGGAAGAAAATTGCCCTAACTCCGGCAAAATATCATTAGTCTTGGAATGCTGTTTGGCAGCTCTACTGACGTAGGTACAAGGACCCGTGTAGGCGGAAGAGTGGAGGCGCGACATTGTTGTGGTATTATTGCCCGTTGATATTTTCCATCTTGTTGCACTGGATACTTTGCGGGTTCGGTCGGTGGCCGAGGGAGATATCTCGGCATTCCCAAGGAGGAGGTTGAGGGGGCGCGGGGTGGGTGGGAGGAGGAGGAGGAGGAGGTTAAATCTCTCGTTTCGCTCTGGTTGGATTTATCAGCTGGATTTCCTTTTGGATCGATTATTATTACCAAACTGCTTATTGTTTGTGTTACTCTTCTTAATGCGAGGGATCAGTAACCTAGTAGTGATACCGTGGTAAGCGCCGGAAATGCACTTGACGTAATTTGCAAAAAGATCGCAATAAACTGCTCACACGCTCAGTGTACCACCACCCACCTCAACACAAAGCGTTGATAATTACTGCGCACATGGGGGCAACATACCAATCCCGGGAATGGGGTATGTATCAGTTCATGAAGAGCGTCTTAGCAGAGTAATCCATAATTAACCAGTGCATATTGAAAGGGCCTGGCTGGTAATTAGTGGTTGCAGCTTTTTGATCCATCCGGGGCCCTTGGGTGGTGGGATGTTGGAATGGAACCCGCCCAGGAACAACGACCTTAAGCCGCAACGGGACTAGCGGCGGGTTTACATCATAAAAGGTTGCATCAGCTTGTCCCGATAAGGGGGCTTGGCATTACCTTGTCACCTACTAACCAGTTAGGGACTAGTGCATGCTGATATAAGCATATTGCCGAAGCCAAGACCTTCCAACCTTCCCGGCGCCAGCCAATCACAGCGCCGATTTTAGGCCGCAGAGCAGGAAGAGCTTGGCTGAATCGGGATAGTTTTGCCGGGTATCCATCGTTTGGGCCTCTGTCACTGACGAGCGGGTTAATTCCGGGGGAAGCAGAGCAACGACGACGGCCTTCTGCCTTGCCTTGGGGCCTTGTTCATTTCCTTTTCCTTTTCTTCTCTCCTCTTCCCTCCTCGTGGCTTTGCGGTTCAAACCTCCTCCGCCAGCTTCTTCTATCCTGACTACGCATTCTCTCACTCGTGTTCACCTTTCCGACACCCATTCCATTCCTACCAAACGGTGGGTGTGCTCTCTTGGTGGGTACACCTAACGATCGATTCCCACCCCGACCCGTAAATCAACCCAAGCGTTTCCACTTCCCGGAATCTGAGAACTTCATACCGAGGAAGCACCCGATTATTATTTCAGGCAAAAAAAAAAGGAAAAGATCAAAAAAAAAAAAAAAAAAAAAAGAGATAAAAAATCCTTGCAGCAGGATAAAAAAGAAAAGAAAAAAAGAAAAGAAAAAAAGAAAAAAAAAAAAAACCCAGGAACGACATAACAGGGGAAAATTAAATTAAATAAAAAAAAAATATATATAGAATTAAGCGCAGGTCGATCGTTAAAAAACACCGCTTTGACTCCCTCTCTCTCTTCAGCTATGCTTTCTGTGCAGCTAACATCCGTTCATACCCGACACTCACTCTCGCTGCTCTCTCTTGTCCCGTCCCCTTGTGCTCGCCCAGTCGGTCGGTCTTTATCCGCTTTCTCTAAGAAATATTCTTATTCTTCCTCATCCTCTTCCTACCCCTCCTCGTCTTCCTCCTTGCGCCCTTCTGCCCTCCTCGTCCACAGCTCCTCTGTCCCCGTCCGAAATACCCCTGAGAGAACTCGCTGGGCATCAATTCCTACCACACAAACTCGCAACATGGCTGCGTCCCGGCGGAAGATTGTGGTGAAGAACCCCGTGGTGGAATTGGATGGTGATGAGGTATGTTTCGTCCGCTTACCCCTCCAGATACATATGTATATCCATATACATACGCGTCCATATCCATCCTCTCTCCCGTCCCCTCGCGGAGGGTGCAACGCAGGAACAACACACAGCGTCTATTCCTCATAGTTCCAGGACAGGAACTCGTGGAGACATTCCATATATTATTGGGTGCTGCGACTGCTTGTTTAACATGCTTCATGGCGAGAGGAGAAGATATGTATTATTATGTGTATTATATGCCCTGCCGCATATGGGGGCTGTTATACTGCTTCCTGGTAGTGTCCATTAGCGAATGCTGACGGAGAGACCTGATTTGTTGAACATAGATGACAAGGATTATTTGGAAAGACATCAAGGATAAAGTAAGCATCTGGTCTTCTCCGATCTGTTCCCAGAGTTCCGAAAGCCTTTTGCTCTTTCTCGCAGAAGCATCCCAGGCTGCTTCAGTGCTAACATACAAATCACATCAAAGTTTATATACCCGTCAGTTTGATTGCCCCCGGCCCGCTCCCCCTCTCTTTTTCTTAACTGCACTGCAGTCATTGGTTGGTCTAGCATGCTAAAGCTTAGCCCCTGTGTTTATTTTGTTTTAGATATCTTGATATCGATCTCAAATACTATGACTTGGTATGTGGATCGCTTTGCACTGGATTGTCTTTTGTGACACCGGGATACTGAGCGGTAGCTAATGCTTAATATTAATAGGGCTTGGAGTACCGTGATAAAACCAATGATCAGGTTACGATTGATTCCGCAGAGGCGATCAAGAAGTATGGGGTAGGCGTTAAATGTGCTACTATTACTCCAGATGAGGAGAGAGTTAAAGAATTCAACCTCAAGCAGAGTAGGTTGATTCATTCCATGAAAACTTGCTAATTTCCCTTTTCCCCTACTTTCGACGTCGGCTAAGTCACTCGTCTAGTGTGGTTGTCTCCCAACGGGACTATCAGAAACATCCTGTAAGCTTGCATTCTTTTAAATCAAAAATAACGCATCTCCAGGGGCAATTACGCTCATACCTTGTCTTTTAGAGGTGGAACCGTCTTCCGTGAACCAATTGTCATCAACCGCGTCCCCAGGCTGGTACCAGGCTGGAAAAAACCCATTATCATCGGTCGACATGCCTTTGGCGACCAATACCGTGCCAAAGATACAGTTATTCCAGGTCCCGGTACTCTCGAGCTCGTCTATACACCCAAGGGTGGCCAGCCAGAGCGCATCAAGGTCTTTGACTTCGAAGGCGGCGGAGTTGCCATGAGCCAATACAACACCGACGACTCGATCTCCGGCTTTGCCCATGCCAGCTTCAAACTGGCCATCTTAAAAGGAATGCCCCTCTACATGAGCACCAAGAATACCATCCTCAAGAAATACGACGGGAGATTTAAGGATATTTTCCAGTCTATCTACGAATCTACTTATAAGAAGAGCTTTGATGCCAAGGGTATCTGGTACGAACATAGACTCATCGATGATATGGTTGCGCAGATGATCAAGAGCGAAGGCGGCTTCATCATTGCCATGAAGAGTGAGTGCCTCCTCCCTTTCCATCCCATCACCCCAACCCCACCTACAACCCACTCAACTAACCCACCCCCTCCCCTGCAGACTACGACGGCGACGTCCAATCCGACATCGTAGCCCAAGGCTTTGGCTCCCTCGGCCTCATGACCTCAACTCTCACAACTCCCGACGGCACCGCCTTCGAATCCGAAGCCGCCCACGGCACCGTTACCCGCCACTACCGCGAGCATCAAAAGGGCCGCGAAACCTCCACCAACCCCATCGCATCCATCTTCGCCTGGACTCGTGGCCTCGTCCGCCGCGGGCAGCTGGACAACACACCGGACGTGGTTGTGTGGGCTGAGCAGCTGGAGCAGGCGTGCATTGATGTTGTGGATGAGGAGGGGATTATGACTAAGGACCTTGCATTAGCGTGTGGGAGGAAGGATCGGGCAGCGTGGGTGACGACGAGAGTGTATCTGGAGGCGGTTGAGAGGAGGTTGCAGAAGAATTTAGCGAACGCGAAGTTGTAGAGTGGTGACCTTTTGCCCCCCGTTTGGGGGAGGGGAGATGGCTGGAGAAGGGTTGATTGATGTAGATGTGTAGGTATATGGAGGTTGATTCGAGTTTGGATGAAAGATTGCATGCAATAAGGGGTCTTCTTTTTCTTTCGTTTTCTCAACTGTCACAATGTGACCTTGCATTTTGCATGGAAGCAAGCTATTCAGATTTCCTCATGAAAGGCTTCTGCTCACCCTTCATACTTGCTTTCTCTCCTCCCAATTACTATATAGCCGTTTTCATCATTTTCACCACCACCATTCTCATTGTGTCCATTTCTCTCATCTACTCCTTCTATCCCATACATATCGCACAGCTTTCTTTCCTTTCTTTCTTTCCACTCCCATGGCATATGGACTTTTCCATGCCCCTTTTTCTCGATCATCTCCTGATAAAATTTTGTATTTTGAGCTTTTATTATACTTCTGATATGTTTTGCCTCCTTAGCTTTCCTTTCATCCTCTAGTGTGCTGCCTTTCTCAAATTTATCTCACCGACACATATCATCGCTATATAGACATATTTCATGCATATATACATTCTTGTTTATACTGTACATTCCTGCCTGTCTGCCTGCCTGCCCGCTCGCTCGCCCGCCCGATTACTTCCACATCCTGCTCTCACCATCTCAACGCTTGTTTTAATATTACATTTTGCTGTGTTGAAGTCCAATTGCCGTGCTCCAGCCTTTTCTCGATATATATTGGGTTATTTATTTACCTTGTTTGTCTATCTAGACTAGACTGGCCATTGAACTCCCTCTTTTCATTATGTTTGCTTCTTCTTAGATTCTTCAATTTCTAGGCACGCTTTCAAGATCCATATGCAGGTGTACACGGATTCCACAGTTATATTCAGATATACACAAACATAGATAGCTGCTAGAATTGTTTATTCTCTTTGTTTTGACTTGAAATGGAACATAGTTTCGTCATTGTCTTGTTTTAAATGATTTGTTTTTTGGGTTACTGATCTCCGGTGCGAACTGGAAAGCGGAGAAAGATATAGTCTTTCCAAAATTTTTATTTGGAAAGGGCTCTTGGATAATGCGTGGAGGATAAAGAACCATCTCGAGTATATTGCGATGTCTACTCTATTGGATATAAAAAACATATGTGCTTAAAAACGTAGTAAAACTCCCAACAAACTCGCTTCCCACTTGTCTCATCTCAGAGACAACTCTCACAATACGCAATTTTAACCTCCCTTCTTTCGTTTTATATACAGCCCAGCGAGGGGCAAAAAGTGTTAAAATGCCCAATCCAAATCGCGTTTCTCTTGTTACAGACATAGCCACGCTTATCATCTGTCCCCACTTTTCCATCCATTCCCACGTCGACCCTACCCACCAAAGGAAAAAGTCGAAATGAAACAGCCACAACTCCCTATGCAAAATTGTAACCTGTAATCGACGGGCCCAACCTCCTTTCATATCATCAAATTCCCGAAGGGTCTCTTATTTCGTAACGTGGGCAGGAGTATACCAGAATGTCGGTTTCACGAATCTGTAAATTAATCCGCCCATTGCAAAATAAAATAAAAAAAAGGGGGGCAGGGTAGTTATCAGTATTCACTCTTGGTTACCTTACATCAAGGACAAATCAAAACAGGCTTGCAAATCCAATTTGTTACAAGCGGGAAGGCAATCGATAGCATTTAACGGGATCCGGATGATAAGAAAAGTAGAAGAAAACTCACCGGTCCGAGTTATAAACCTTCGTCTCAGATCCAATTAATTCCTTCTCCCTAGCCTTATCAGCAAGGTGTCTGCGGACTTGATCACGATCTTCCTCGGCCTGGAGGAGCGGTATCAGATGGATGCGGGACCACATCTTCTCCCGGCCGAGCTCACTGGTTCAAATAACACACGAAACCCGGTTAGCTTACATGCTGCGCAGAAAAGGGATGGGGAGAAAGAAAGAAAGAATGAATGAATGAAAAAATGAACTGAAAAATAGGTTAATCCGTGTCAAAAGGTGGTCGCTAGGTTTGGTATTCGTTTTGCAGCCAGACGGTGTTCTTACTTCTTCTCTCGGATGCCGATGAACATCTTGTAGAAGCCGTATGCCATGATCAAGTGCACGCCGACGAGATAGTAGACGGGCCGGAAGCCACGGACGGGAAGGTTACGCTGCGAGTTTTTGAATGAGGAGAGGAGACATTAGTTTCATAGCTCGTTGAGAGTTGGCTTCGTGATTCGAAACCGGGATTGGGAATGTCGTTCGATGGCATCCGTACCTTATACTGAACAGGCTGATAGCCCCCAGCGGGGGGCATGTCCTGAGGCATTGTTGCGGTGGTTCAATTGACAGTTTGGAAATGGATTCCGGGGAACTATGAAGTTGGTAATCATTCCATTGCCGAAAACATGATAGAAATGATGTTGGTTTTGGAAGGTCAGTTTGATATCACGTGAGCATACTGATGTTGATTGGATGAAATCCTCCCTTGAATTTTAAACATCTTCACAGATTTACACCTTCGACCTGAAAGATCTTGGGGCCATTGTAGCTTATTGAAAATATATCATATGCGCATATTGTGATAGTAATACGGAGTCCATTTACTATTTCATTCCAATAGTTTACTCAAGATGGAGGAAGAAAACGAGCGCCCAAGAAAGCTACAGAAGACAGAGCATGATACGTCGATCCCCATAGCAGAAGAGTCAATTTCTTCACCGAATTCGGCTTCTACCCCCAACGGGATAACGGCAGAAAGCAAAGGAAGCGCAGAGAATTATGCCAATCGCATTATTACGCTCGCATCTATACCCGAGACTGACGAAAATGGGCAACCGCTGTCAAAGAACCAGCGAAAGAGACTCCTGAAACGAGAAATATGGGAGGCTGGAAAGGAATGGCGCAAGGAGAAGCGCAAGGAAAAGATACACGCAAAAAAGGAGCGCCAGAGAGCTGCGAAAGCCCAAGGGTCACAAGAAGGTGACTCCGACATCATTAGGCTCATCTCCAGAACAGAGCGGAAGAAAGTGGCCCATCAGAGATCTACCCTCCTCCCGATAACTTTTGTGGTCGATTGTGACTTCGACGATCTTATGGTTGAGAAGGAGCTGGTTTCATTGGGTTCTCAGATAACGCGATCTTACTCTGATAATTCGAAGGCGCCGTTCAGGGCCCACCTGGCTTTTTCGTCTTTCAATAAGCGGTTGAAGGAGAGATTCGATACCGTGCTCATGAAGCACTATACGCGGTGGAAGGGGGCTACTTTTTTACAGGAGGATTACATGGTTGCGGCTGGACAAGCTAAGGAACGAATGCGCCAGCACAATGGAGGAAGGCTGATGGGGATGTTTGCTGACAAGGCTGGGGCCAATCCTGATGAAGGGGAGGTCATATATCTAAGCAGTGACAGCCCCAATACGCTGACGGAGCTCAAGCCATACAGCACTTATATTATCGGCGGACTGGTAGATAAGAATCGGCATAAAGGGGTATGCTACAGGAGCGCGATGAAAAAGGGGATTAAGACGGCCAAGCTCCCCATTGGCGATTACATGCAGATGCAGAGCCGGTATGTGTTGGCTACGAACCATGTGGTTGAAATTATGATTAAGTGGCTGGAGCTGGGAGACTGGGGCCAAGCGTTTTGTATGGTTTTGCCGAAAAGAAAGGGGGCCGTTTTGAAGGATGCACCTGGTGCAGGAGAGGATGGTGGACCGGAAGATAACCAGGATGCCGGAGCTGGTGAAGTCGAAGATGTGGATAGTCCAGGTTCAGAAGCAGAGGCTCAGGGTGGTTCTTCATGATAGCTAAACGCTCAAAGACACTTTATAGATGATATAGAGTATTGCAAATTTTGTTAGAATTGTGTATCAATATAAGTTGTATAGAGACATACTTCACTTTTAAAATCAAGTAACAATTTGATACTGTCTTGATCTAATGAGTAGCATAGTAAATAGCTAACTAATGCAGACGCACCTCGGCTTTCCTGGTACACATAAATTTGCCACGGAAAATAGTATTCGCGGGGATCTGCACGGGGATTGGCTAAATGCCACATCCGTGCATTTTGCCACGGCGACTAAAAGCCTGTTTGCTGTGTGGTTTTGCGTCATATTAAACAAAATCGAAAAAAAAAAAGAAAAGAAAAGATACTTTTCGCTCTCGGCTTCTCCTGCTCTCACACCATATCCCACATCGCATTCGTTTTGAGAGAGTTGTTCTGTCCAGAGACCACATCTCTCATCGTATTACTTTCCTGTTCAAAAACACTCACTTCCCGACTAGTCCTACTCGGACTCAGCAACGATGTTCATGCTTCGCCATGGTATGTATATGGCTTGTAACCGCCTAACTGACCCCTCCACCATTCAACGCCATAGCAACCCACCACCAGACCAACCTCCAAACCACTGAGAAGTCCCAAGGGTTCTCTGGCTGTTTCGCTACAGAATTCCATTGTGAGTTTTAACTGATAACTGACCGTTTGTGTGCCGTCCATATTTAGTGAGCAAAATTGTCTTCGGCGACACGACCAAGGAATCCATAATTGAGATACCTCAAGGCCAGTTATATATCGTACGGCCACAGTCGCCAAAGGGCTATTCAGAGCTCATATTTCGCGACGCTGCCGCCAGCATTAGACGCACAGGGCAAGAATTCCAGTATCAGTTAGTTATTCAGCGAGCCTACGAAGAAGGAGAGGAGGAGCTCGCAGAAGACGAGGACGAAGAAAATATCGATGGACTTAGTGGGGACAAAGACGAGAAGGCTTTTCTACTAGACGAGATCCTCCGTTTTAGATCCGAAGTGCGAGATGGTGGTGAGAAAGTTCTAGCCTGGCGCGATCTCAGTGGTGACCAAGGAGACCTCTACGAGTTCGTTTGCGACACATCTATCACCTCAGATAGAATCGATAGATTTTGTCTCGCGGCCGCTGAGTGTCAGTTCGAGCAAAAATACCGGAAGAGCGCCCAGGAGGCTAAGGTCAAAGATCTTCAGGAGTTCTACTTTGAGGAGGAAAGCCCAATCCCCAGTGCTAGCCCTGATCTCACGCGGTCCCCGACAGCGAAGGAATCTGCCACAGCCATGGCGCGAGAAGTAGCTGTACCAAACGAAAAGCCAGCTGATACCACTCAAGCACCGCCTTCCGCTGCGAACCCTGAGGCAATTGAGATCCTAGCCAAGGAAAATGCCGAACTCTATCTCTTTGATTTCAACAGTGGAACATTCGTTATACAGGATCCGTCTGTTGTTGCAACAGTCTCAGAGATTGGGGAATGGCAGTACTGGCTTCAGATAAGTGGAAAGGACAGAGACTGGTTAGGACAACCTGTAGTGGCGGACATCAACCCCGTGTTCAACTTCGAATATCTATCCTTTATCTTCAATCATTATACTGAAGATGGCTCCGCATATTCGTGGCTGCTTCGCTTCAAGGACCAGACCGTCGAGGAGAGATTCCAAGAAGGCCTAATGCAAGCATTATGGGAGCAACTGAATGAAATGAAATGGGCGAAATCCAAAGAAAACGATAGAGAATATGTGCTTGAGGCTTTCAACGACCTCACAATGGAAGATGTACCTGAGGAGGAGGAGGAGGAAGTCGCTGAAGAAGAAGAGGAAGATGAAGGCCAGCGCAGCGAACAATATGATACAGATGAGGAAGATGATGATGTTGTAACCCGAGATAAAGACGGAAACGTCAACTCCCAGCTCGCGGTCGGTTACAAACACGATAGGTCATTTGTTGTTCGAGGATCAAAGATTGGAGTCTTCAAACATACGCCCAACAATAACCTTGAGTTTTCCACGAATATCTCGAAAGTCGAAACACCGGATGGCAAGCTTTTCAGCCCTAAGAAAGTCATGCTTCATGCTGAGGATGCAAATATGATTCTTCAGAATGAGCAGGATCCCAATTCCCTCTATCGAATGGACCTGGAATACGGAAGAGTCGTTGATGAGTGGAAAATTCACGATGATATACCCGTCACTTCATTTGCTCCCGAAACTGTATGATCCCCTCATTTTCTTTTGTACCTTCCTTTTAATATTTTGCTAAATATTCTCCAGAAATTCTCCCAAATGACCTCCAACCAACCGTTCCTTGGTATCTCCCGCAACGCACTCTATCGTATCGACCCCCGTCTATCAGGGAACAAACTGGTGGAATCAGACCTCAAACAATACGTCAGCAAGAACGATTTTTCTTCCACTGCAACCACAGAGAAGGGTTATATTGCGGTTGCTTCCAACAAAGGTGATATCCGCATGTTTGACCGTCTTGGTGTCAACGCGAAGACACATATCCCAGCTCTGGGAGAGGCAATTATTGGTCTAGATGTGTCCGCAGATGGCCGCTGGGTCTTAGCAACCTGCCGTACGTACCTACTCCTGATCGATGCTCTTCAAAAAGAAGGCAAAAATGAAGGCAAACTTGGTTTCGAGAGATCATTCGCGAAGGACTCGAAGCCTCAGCCACGCCGCCTGGGTTTGCAACCAAGTCACGTCGCCCAGTTCCAACATGAGACCGGGGCCCCTCTCTCTTTCACACCCGCTCGATTCAATACCGGCCTTGACTCGTCAGAGACGTCAATTATAACAGCTACTGGTCCTTTTATTGTCACGTGGAACATGAAGAAGGTGCTTCAGGGCAGGAAAGATCCGTACACGATCAAGAGATATGCGGAGGAGGTAAAGGCGGATAACTTCAAGTTTGGTAGTGATAAGAATGTTATTGTCGCGTTACCGAATGAAGTAAATATGGTTGCGAAACAGTCGTTTAAGCGGCCTACGCGAGAGAGTATTGCCGGACCCGTTCGGTATAGTGCTGGTCGAAGAAGAAGTGCGCGTCTTTCGAGGAATGAGGTTGTGAACAGTCCTTACTGAACCAGGTGGGGTTACAGGTTGGGATAAAACTCGGTTCTCTATTTATCTTTCTCCTCTTCTTTCTAATTTTGTGTTTCTTGCCCCCCTTTACAAGGTCACAGGTTTTCAGCCCTAATCTTTCATGTCTTTGTTTCTCGTTATGGTATAATTTCTGCTGGCGGATGCTATTCCCACAATTCCCTTTATACCTTTCTTGAATTCCATATGACTGAATTATTCCCTTATCCTCCATTTTCCTGATGACATTTGTATTTCCATGGATTTCCTCCATATTAACTTAATAATCTATGTCGTCACCTCTTCTTGTGGGTTTTCAGACCTTACCACCAGGGTGCATACCACTGCGCCGTCCGTTGCACTCCCATTTCTTTCTATTAATACATATGATTTTATTCTTCTTTCTCCCCCCTCACCACCCCTCCATCTTTTTTCTTCTCTCTTAAACCTATTCTTGATTTATATATCCCTTTTATGTCTCATTGTTGTTTCACTGCGTCGGGCTTTTCTCTCTTCCATGCTTCTTCTCATTACCCATCAACTCCCCGAGACGGGTTTTCTTATGAACAAGTTTCTTTTACATTTTGGGCGATGTTCGAAACGGAATTTTATGAGGCCGCGGTGGTGGTGCGGAATGGCGTTTCTGTGCAGAGCTCGCAGTTAGCTAACTTACCGATAGCAATGAATGAAATGACATCCTTTGGTTTATGAAGAAGTATCGGATGTGTCTGCGAGAGCTTTAAGGGGAATTCCACATATATCATCTCCTTTATCTGGAACATGCTCGACCACACCAATCACTGTTGCACTGAAACATGCATCTTGTCGTGTTAAACCTGTCCGACAACTACATAACACCTTACAAACCACTCCTGGACTCTCTATACTTGAACTAACTAGCTACCTAACCAGCTCCTTATTCCTCCAAGCTGTCAATTACATTGCTTCGAGGTTGGCTGGGCAGCCGTTATCACCAAATAAATCACAGGGGCAGACCAACAACACATCACAACGGTACTATGCAGGTGGTTACTTCGCAACTACATCCATTATCTTACCCTGAGGGCAGCATCAACCTTCTCAAACGCTCATAGGATCCGATCTGCCGCTGTGATAACGCAACTAGTACGGGATACTGCTTACACCCCTCCCTCCAGCTAGTGATCCTAAGGAATACGTTGACTAGAGGTTCGTCATTGCAGGTCTAGTATTCGAGGTTTCAAATCTACTTTCTCTTCCGAACGCGAGACAACTGAGAGTACTTTTCTTACCAGGGGCTTTCTGGTTGCTTATTGGCTCTGTATTGTTGATTTGTATAACAATTGGTCAAGTTAAGTGTCCAACAAGAAGGTGCCAAAGTTGCTTCACCTACAGATAGGAGATCCTTTGCGTGAGTGAACTTCCAGGGCGCAGCCCGCACAGAAAACTCAGATCCCGGTTGATGAGGCTTTCAGGGAATATGGACGACTGTCCCCAGGAGTCGGAGATGACGATTGACGGAAGGTTGGGGGAAATTGGTAGACAACTCGAGGAATTTGATAACGACTTTCGGGAAATTGAGACGGAATTCAACAATATTAATATCCGGTTCAATGATCTAGATCGCCGGCATGATGATGTTGAGGGCCTGTTCCAGGAAGTTGATGCCCGATTCGATGAAGTGAATACCCTGTTCGATGGGGTTTGACGCTCAATTCACTGGAGTTGAGAATAGATGCGACGACATTGACAACTGGTGCGACAGAGCTGATAAGCGATTCGACGGGCTTGAACAAGATCTTCGAGATGTGGTAGCTGAGCTTGCAAATTCCAAAGCGATGAATGCCAACCGTGTTCTGCGTCGAATTCACCAACGTATTAACCAAGTCCAAGTGCGCACGTTGATGCCACTAGGCCTCCGTAAGTTTGAGTGGAAATCACATCCGAAAATGCCAAAACACATGAAGGAACTTTTTTATTTAGGTCAGAGGGCGAAGGGAGTTTTCGAATCTGCCTTCTCCGGAGACAGTATGTTAACACAGTACATCCTCAATCGACAATCTCAGTTCTAATCATTTTTTCTAGAACCGATTGAAACACAACGGGCTCTTCAAACCATTCGTGATCTGGCAGCGTTCTATGAAGTTGTGATCTACTCCGATGAACAAGCTGATGGCGAGGGAGCCGGGGTTGATGTTACGGGAGATGTTGACGGGTATATGGAGGAACTGCTTGATAAATGGGGACTGGACTGGACCAAAGTCTGTGAAATTGTTGAAGAACGAGTTCTGAACCCCCAAACACAGCAAGCTAGGATCAAACGGTCTGCGAGCTTAAATGGTGTTGAAGCGCAGGTCTCTGTACGACGTCATTCTTGAAATAAAGTTTCAGCCTTATTTTTTCAACTTTAGGAGCTCGTTCGGCATATTGCTTCAGGAGGGTTGGCTGGCATGTTTTTAGTTTTTATAGCATTTTAGCTGACCAGAATGTTATCTTGCTGAGGCCTGAGTTTTATGATAAAACCAGACTAGTTTACCCCGGAATTCGAATACATATGAAAGTGGTTAAGACACTAATAATAATAATAATAATCAGAAGCTAAGTCGTTTTTCTCAGAATTTGTTAAAACTGACTACAATAATTATGGAAAGGAATATAAGCAAACCAGCTCAATGACGTCCCTATATACACACAACTTAAAATTCATGGACGAGGTGGGTGATTCATGACCAGGAAAATGCAAACTCCTTTTCAGTAACTACAAGGAAAAGAATGTTAAATAAATTTCCTACTTTTCTTGATTTTCCCACCCTCTTTAAGACCCAAGATACCATATCTCCACGCCTAAGACGTCAAATTTCGTCCCTTCGTCGCTCAATGGCTCGTTACCAAATGTCGGACATGAGTGGCTAACGCCCTTCTCGAACGAGTCGTCTAGCCAAAGCCCATAGTGCCCATCTCTAAAACATTGCACATCAGAGGAACAGAGGGTAGAGTCAGTTACCTATTTCCTCTTTCAAAGCCTCAATTGCATCTACCTTTTCATCCCCTTTTTCTCTCCAAAGGGGAGTGTGGACATATAGGAGCCACGAAAGCAGAGGAGGGGGAAACGAAGAGATAAATAAGACTTACCCGCCCCCAACACTCAAAAACCCCGTCTCACAGAACATCATATAATCATTGACCCCGCTATATGGGAACGCCTTGAACCGTATCCGCTCCGGTGACGTGGCCCCGCTTCCGCTTCGGCTATTGCCTGTTGAAAGGTTAGTCGGCGCACATTGTTGACCACCAGCTCCAGCATGACCATTGCCAATTGTACCAAAAGACGCACTATGCAACTGAGCTGGGGAGAGCAAGTCCACCCCGTGTCTGCTGCAACTGCCATCCTCATCCCTTCTTTTACTGGCACTGGCACTGGCACTGGTGGAGTCACGACTATCGTTATGGAGTGACAAGCCCTCTTGACGTCCGGAAAGGACACTACAATCATGAATTGTATGTTTCTCACCATTGCGCTTCTCACCTCTTAACGTCGTACTCCTGCCCCGTAACTGTGTCGTATCCGCGCTGGGGGGCAAGGGTAACCCCACCAGGTCCAAATCAACATTCCCACTATTCGATGAATGTTCGATATTTTCCGGGACTCCACTGGTAGTAATATCTTTTCCCTTCCCCCTCCCGTCGTCCGTTTTAGTCGTCGTAGTCGCAGCCGTGGTGCGCATGTATATCATGGGAGTAGAGGGCAACACACTAGCCCGCCAAAGGAAACATTCTCCTGTCCCATAATAATGTGAAGCAGGATGCGGGGGATCTGTAAGATAAGCGCCAAAGAGAGCTCCGCCACCAGCAGCTGAAGCTCTACTGCCTCCTGCACCCTTTGTACCTTTCCCACCATTCCCACCCAGCCCCGGCCCGGACGACGAATCCTTCACAACAAGTACATAGCCCGCTTTCTGACTTCTGCTCGCAAATGCCTTACACTTCTCATACAGAGTTGCCAAACTTGACCCGTCTCTATCCAGGCTATAGGCAAGCTGCCAAGTGTCCAGCAACTGCAGGCGGGGAGGGACCAGCAACCGGATTTCCTCTGCTAAGGACTGTGCGAGGAGAATGTGAGAGGCACCTCCAGCGGCCTTGAGTGTTAAGGGGGTTAAGGGAGGGGGTTGGAAGGGGGACGCCGTGCGAATTGGGGGGTTATAAACTTCGGATACACTCATAGGGTCCAGAGGAGGCTTTTTCGAGGCAGGTCGTGGTGGGGTGGGCTCTGTTAGGCGTCTATAAATTCCCGAAACAACATGAGTAATCGGATAGGATATGTAGGAGGAGGCAGAGGAGGGGGACTGGGAGTGAGATTGAGATTCGGACTGGGATCGGATCGGTGGGGTGCGGGGGAGGGAGGAGGGTGGAAGGGAGTGGGAGGGGTGTTTGGATGAGCCCCCTGATGCAGACATAGGGGATTAGAAAGGGTTCAGTGGGATATCTTGTGGGTAGGATGAAAAATAGGGGAGCGGGCTGTAGATGTACCTGTAGTGGTCGATTGGTTGCGCAGTACATAAACACAGGTACATATTCAGTATAAAGATATTTTGATGTTGTTGAGTTGCCTATTGTGGGGTAAGTTAGTTGGAGATTAGCTACACATTACAGACCAGATTTGGTTCAACGCTCCTGGCATCAATAACCACGGAATGGACAATGCACAGCGACCTCTTTTTATTCCAAATTCGATGGTGTTAGGTACGGCTATTTAACATTTTGCTCCCGTGTTTAGAGATAACTATTCTATATATATATATATATGTGTGTGAGTGTGTGAGTGTGTGAGTGTGTGAGTGTGTGAGTGTGTGAGTGTATGTGTGTGTTTTGGGACATGCTCCGTTTTTAAGCTTATAACTGGTATGCCATCTCGTCAGTAGATATGTATATACCAGAACATATCACCTGCCCCAATATCACATAAATAAAGAATGAAGTAAAATAATCCATCTGTCTATCTCAACAATATGCTTCCGACACTTGGACAGCTAGAGAGAGCAAAAAAAGTATGTTAAATAATGTCTAACCCCCCACTCCCACTCCCACTCCCATCCCATCCCATTCATTAAAACAAATCCAAAAGATCTTGATTGCTCTTAGTTGTTGTCGCAGTCCCCGTCCCGGTCCCCGATGCCGCAGTCGGGGTAGGTGTGCTTGCAGACCCAGTAAGATCCAACCCAGCAAACCCATTCAAAAGATCTGCATTATTACCTGTGCCATTCTGCGTCCCGGCACCGGCACCCCCGCCAAACGCCGCGCCCGCATTCGTCCCGCTTCCAAATACCCCCATGAGATCCTCAAGGTTGTTGCTTGACGGCGGTCCTACGCCAGAAGCGGGCGAATGGACTCTGATGGGAGTCCCAGCAAGCCCCTCGAGCCCAGACATACCGCTGGGCGGCTCCTTCTGGGCAGATGCAGGCGCCGTTCCATCGAAGTCAATATCCAGCAGACTCTCCAGGTTGCTTTGCATTTGTGCTGGCGCCGCAGTTCCGGATACGGCAGCAGCAGCGGCAGCGGCCGCTAATGGGTTTTCTCGTGCGTTTTGAAGTTGTTCTCTGGAGTGTAGCGTCAGTAAAATGAAATACGAGAAGCAAACACATAACTGGTTTAAGTAGAGGAGGTACGTACTCGATGGCTGCCTTTTGAACGGCATCTGCGCCATATTTTCCTTCGCCTACGAATTGTTCTGGGGGTTTGTGATAGACAGATGCGAGTGTCGATAGTTCTGTGAGAAGCTGGTCGAGGAGGGCTGGAGAGAGTGATTGGATAGTGGTAACAATGGGAGGTTTCTCTGACAGAACCACATTCTTTGCAGCATTTGGGTCCGTCGTATTCGAGAGCAGTCGCCAATACACATACGCCCGGTCTCTAATATCTGGGTTGTCATTCTCAGCAGTTGCAGCCTGAAGGACCTTTTGCACCAGGCCTTGAGCTTTATCCGGTCGTTTTAGGAATAGCTTAACGACAGCTGTCAATATTTGCAGTTGTGTCTAACAAGAGAGTTAGCTGGATATGCAAGGAGTGAAAGATAAATAGTAAGAGAAGTACAGACTTGGGTGAACTCTTCATTAAAGCCATCAACAAAGCCCGCAAGGATATCACCAGCGTTACTAATTTTCTCAGCATACTCTCCAACAATCCAGATCAATGATCCTCTGGCATTAGGCTCGTCAAGCTCGTCGATACACTGACACAGAGTAGGAATAATGCCCTCATAGCCAGGGTATTTGCGGAAGATATCCTTGATAACGACAATGGCCTCCTGAACGACGTAGTTCACTTTAGTATTAATCAAGTCAAGCAGTGTTGAAACACATTTCTCAGCAGCAGCTTCGATCTTGATAGCCGTCTGTCCAATGGCCCTGACAGCACGTCGAACAAAGTCCATGTCGACCTCGAGGGCATATTCTTTCAATTCTGCAAGAAGTTGATCTACATTGCGCTCGTTCGCGATCCGGACCATAATGTCTAGTTTCTGAAATTTAAGATAAGGTGGATCGTTATACTTGCAAAAGAAGACCCGGAGTTCCTTGTCGAGGATGTTTGGTTTGCTCTGGAGGAGCAAGTCGATATTTCGAAGAGCAACGTATTGAACTTCAGGAGCGGAGGAGACTAGAGTCACTATTGTGGGAAACTCCTTTAGTGGTTGTTTCCAACATAGCCTGGCCATTTTGTTGGAGCTTACCTAGAGGGGGAGCCATCTTCTTCAAGTATGACTGAGCGGTTTCAGGATTAATGATCTTCATATGCAAAAATACGACCTTGACAGCGGCAAGCACTACACTGGCGTTTATATGTTGAAACTGAGGCGCAACCCGTTCGCAAATAGTTTCCGCCTCCTTCACGTCTGACGTCCTATAGTCTGCCAGGCTGCTCAACACCGAGACCCTGCCCCATTCCGTGCACTCATTCAAGGCCATAAGCATCTTTCTTAGCGTATTTGGCGTGATCTGTAATGCTTTGGTTTCGGGAGCCGTGTCGCTGATTTCTGCTAAGGCGGTGACGGAGTTGGCCACGACCATGGGATTGGGATCTCCAATCATCTCTTGAAGACTTTCTAAGAAGCCGTTCTCTAAACAGAGGGCCGGGTTAAGGTCGAATAGCTTAGCCACGCAGATTGCAGCCGTTTTACGGACGTAGGGAGATTCGTCGCGTAGTGTTTTCCTCAGCGGCTCCTCCATGTAGTCGACCATCTTATCCACCCGAATACAACCCATTGTGCGTATCGCAAGCGCTCGTATAAGAGGGTTTGGGTCTTCGGAGTCTTGGACGAACGTGTTCACGGCGAGGATGCAAAGATCGGGGTGTGATTTAGCATAATTCCTGAAACAGGGAGATTTGTCAAATCAGCGGCGTCATTGTCTATGACAGCAACGATGAAGGTTGACCAAAAACCCGGCAGCACTCACATAAGATAAAGGTAGACAAGTTTCTTCTGATCCAGATCAGAGGTTGCAATGTTTTTTAGCACGTCAGGGAAAAGGGCAGACACATCCTTGCCCAAGGTCATGGCCATGATGGTCTTTTGTATGGATTCCTTCCTGCAGTAGTATGAGCATCATTTGATAAGACCCCATCATTCGAGTACAAGACGTAAAATACCTTTCCCAAGCATATTGAGATCTATGAAGGCAATATCAGCATTCATCTCGGTAACAACTTTCATATATGGTCGGTCGAACGTACACAAGACCAGATCTCAACTCAAATGTTTCTCCCTTCCTAGGCGCAGTGAAGGCGCCTCTTATTCTATTGACCGCCATTTCACAGACAGGGCTCAGCGGCGACCAAGTCGCCCCTTGGTACAGGAATGCAAGGTTGAAGGCTGTAGGGTGAGCTCTGGAGGAAAGGGATGATAGCGGGGAAGAGACAGTTCTTGGGTGGTGGCTGATTGGTCGTGTTGCCCCCGTAAAACTAAAGGGCTGGCGTCTGGATACACGCAGAAAGACGCACGGCTATGTTAACGACACCCTTGGCAGGTTAGCAGATATAAGTATTTAAATGGAGCAGAGTCAGGGTTGGCTGTGTGCAGTATCTAGCGGATGTTGTTGATTGTTATTGGTGTTGGCGGGTGCTTTCTTCAACCACCAACCTTGGTTAACTACTTACACAAATAACTATTTAGGAAGACGACATCATTCTCATGCCCAGATCAGAACAGCTCAACTGGAGCTAACAAGGCTTTCACCAAATATCTCGACTCTATTCGCTTTTAATGATTGAAGATGGTAAGCTGAATCTGACACCTGTCTACATGTTCTGTAGACCCTGCTCACATCCAATATGAGGCCAATCTACCCAACCTTAGACGTCTCTTCGTGGAATCCAGAACAGAAGCTGAGGAAAACGAGTATTCCAGAAACGCAGTATGTGGATATGCTTGCTTCTATACATCAGACATTCGTATATATATATAAAACTCAGGTTCCTTCTGACCCCTCACTTGTATAACAAACTACAGTTCTACAACCTGGTCCTCTTCATCTCCTCGGTCGCGGTCTTCAGTCTGGTTGCCCAACGCATGGGGGGGGGCAAAGCCGTGCAAATGAAGTAAAACAAGATGAGGACAGAGTAAATACGGAATATTTCCAGAAAATCCCAGAAATTAATTAATGCTATGGAATAGCAGAGGGTTAAGGGGACCTCTTTATCCGGCAAACCTCAGGATATAATGATACAACATTCAACATGTGAAAAATCAATACACCACACAGCATCGTCATTACAAACATGAACGAAACTCTGGATATCGTGGATCATTTCCCATCCGTAATGAAAAGGAGAAAAAAAAACAGTCAACCCATTACGCACCAAAACCAAAAGGGACAAATGATAAAATGATTATCACCCATCAATCTGTCTCCTCACCATCATCGTCCCCAAGAAAGCTAAGAGCCTGAAATCCCCGCGCAACCCGTCTTCGCGGACGCCCCTCACCCGCTTCCTCATCAGAAATGTTCGTCCCCCACCTCCTCGCACCCTCACGTACAACCTCAAGATCAGCCAACAACTCCCTCTGCTCCCTGATCGCCTTTGCCTTCTCAAGCGAAAACCGCCCTCCCATCCCGGCATCCTTCAGCATCTGACGGAGATGCTTAACCTTCGCTCTCGCCGTATCGTACGGCGCCAATTCACGAAACCACATCTTCCGAATCCCACACTTGGCGAGCTGGCCTTGTAACTTCTTGATTTCCTCCTGGTCTGGATCGACGTTAGAGCTGTTCTTGGATTTGCTGCTTGGTTTCTGCTTGGTGGATTTTCCCGCCTTCGAAGGTTCTGACGACTTGCGCCGTTTGGTCTTGGGTTCTGGTTCGTCGTCGATGAGTACGGACAGCTCGCTTTCGGAGGCGTCTTGTTTGGCGTCGTCAGGCTCCTTCCTGGAGGTGTCATCCTCCGACAATTCTCGTTCTGAGGACTTCTTGGATTCGTCTGGTGCGTCAGAAAGTTCCGACGAAGAGTCTCTTTTTGGTGGTGCAGTTTGGGGGGCCTGTTTTTCTGGGCCTGAGGCCTCTTTTGCCAGTGGGGCTTGTTTTCGTGATCTGGGTGCTTCTTCATCTTCATCTTCCACTTCGCTATCTTCACTAGGTGGGGATGACAGTTCTTCCGATTCCGATGGAGTAACAATTCGCCGTCTCTTTCTCGATGGTTGCGAGGCGCCCGTCGCGGAACGCTTGGATGCTCTGGGTTTCTTCAGAGAAGCTACTCGTTTTGGTGGCACCGGAGATGCTGGTTGTTCCCTCTTCTCTTCTTTCCTAGCAGCCAGTTCCTCTTGTTTCTCCTTTAGTTTTACACACGTTTTTGTCAGTATATTTAAAGATTAAAGATGCTGCATTGAACTGATAGAAATACGAATTTTATATTCATAGAGTATCAAAGCAAGGACCAATAAAGAATGAAATTGTCGCAGCAGCCAACTACGTACCGCTTCCTGCTTAATGATCCAATCACTCTTCGCCTTCCAAACCGCATCATTCTTATAAAAGCCCTCCTCCAAATCCAGCGCTTTCTCAGCCGCGATGCGGACACGCTTCACCGTCAAATCCTCCATGTTTCCCTTCTTGAATATGCCCGCGACGGTGTCGCGCAGCCCCATTTCGAGAATATTTTCCGAAGGTATCCCCGTAGAGGATAGAGATTCGGATTCAGACTCAGAATCGGCCATGATTAGGGGTTATGCGAATCGAGTTTGCGGGGTCAATTCGAGCAGGAAAAGAAGAAAGTAGGGTGGGACGAGAGCGTGTCAGGATGGCGATTACCGACGCGTGGAGAGATGTATTTACTCTTAGTTATCACAGGTCGGAATTTTCTTTTTATAAAGCCATATCTTTTGAGGAAGAAAAAGGCGCCTTCGCTGAAGAGTTTTGTTGTCCGCCGCTGTGTATAGAAGTTGCTGCATGTTGAGAAGTAACTTGTTTATTAGCAACAAAGAGCAACCGAGTTTAATTGTGGGGTTTTGCTTCGGCCAAGCCATCCCCGGGATTTCCTCAAGTTATTTATGGCCGGAGAACATTAGGATGTCTTAAATAGCAGTAGAAATATTCCGTTCTTCTTCACCCGGATATGATAATGATATTACTAAACCTACATCGATAAAGAATTGCCAAATCTATTTTCTCATTTCAGACAACGTATTAAACGTATCCGTTAACCACCTCCCAAGTCTGCTGTCACTTTTAATATTCCACATCTCTCCATGGCGGAGATATTGACCGAGCAGATCGAAGCTCTAAAAGAGAGCAAACACCACCCCAAAAAAACAAAACACACAGTGACGGCAGATAGCAAACAAGAAGATGGCCAGGAGAAAGCGAAACTGCCCAAAGGAATGATACTAGATAAGGACGGCAAGCCGTAAGTAGCCCGGGCTTCCCATCATAGTAAGAGGCTTACCCAACCCCGGAATCCCGCCTACTCTACACATACATGCGACCATTTATACGCCTGACAACAGCTCTAAAAAAAGGTTAGTCAATCTAATAAACTAACAAAATTCCAGGTGCCGTACCTGCGTCTCCATCGCTGACTGGCGCGCCCTCATGAAAGGAAAATCCCAATCATCCGCCGCCACCTCTTCCTCCAACCCCAACACCCCCAACACCACGACAACCACCCAAGACCAAACCACAACGGCAGCCTCCACCATAGCCCTACCCACGGACTGTCCCCCCGACGTCGAAACCCTAGGCCGTAGCACCTGGACCCTCCTTCACAGCATGACAGCCACCTACCCAAAAACCGCCACCCCACAGCAGCAAAATGACATGCACAGCTTCCTCACGCTATTCGGAAAACTATACCCATGTTGGGTATGTGCGGAAGATTTCCATACCTGGATGAACGAGCCCAGTGGCGCGAATAAGCCCCGGTTAAAAACGAGGGCGGAGTTTGGGAACTGGATGTGCGAGGCGCATAATGAAGTTAATCGTAAGTTGGGGAAGAAGGAGTTTGATTGTAGGAAGTGGGAGGAGAGGTGGAGGACTGGGTGGAAGGATGGGAGGTGTGATTGATTGATTGATTGATTGATTGGGGTTAAAATTGGGTGGGATTGGATGAGGCGGATATTATAAATATATGAGTATGGACAGTTAAAAAGTCTGTATGCATGCCGCTTTGATTTCGTGTGGAGGAATCTGACGCATATGGCTGGGGGAATGCTCGGTTTTATAATTTTGGATGTTGATGGTTGTCAAAATCTCTACTTACTTCGACTTGGTGGGTTAATACGGGATAAACCGTTGCACCCATGTAATCTTAGACATTCTCCTATATAAATTTCATTGTACATACAATATGAAGACTTTTATGAAGTCCATCTCTTAGATACACATAATTGGTTATGGGTTTATCCCGGGATGTGTTAAGTGAGGGTGGGTATAATATCTGGCCACAGTAGCTATATCAAAATAAAAATAAAATAAAAGGAAGAACGGGAATATTGAAAAAAGGGAATATTGAAAAAAGGGGGCATTTTTCATAATCTGCTAAGAATAAAACCTGAAAAATTCAAAGTCGAAATCATACTGAAGAATGAAAGACGATAAAAATTACCACGCCCCTTAATTACTTTTTCACGGCGTTCATTTGTTCAAACGGACAACAGCTAAAAAGTGAAGCAAAATGAAAGAAAAAGAGATCACATGGGGGAAAAATTAATTACCAGAATAAAATTAAAGAAGAGAAGGAAAATTACTGGATCAATCAATCTAACAATCTAAGGCTTCCCAGAAACAAATAGACGCAAACCACTCGCCGGAGCACCGACCTCCGTCACCTGACTAACGCGACATACAGATCCTTTGTACTGCTCATGGTACTTGGCTCCAGTGTATGGACAAGTAACGCTAGGCGAACCACTGTAGATAGGTGTGAAGGAGGCTGCACAGATGTCGAACTCGGCAAACTGGTCGAATTCAATATCGATCTTATCTTGCGGGCTGCGCTCGCATTGGGCTTTAACTTTCCGGGCCTGAGTTTTTGGGTTTCTGTTAGTAAAGGGCATGGGAGGGAGGAGAGAGTGAGGGTAAAAAAGTGATGTTGAATGTTGGGGCAGTACAAACCTCATCAAGAAATTTGGCGACCCCGCCGTTGGCAATCATTCTGTTGGCGAAACTGAGCGCAGATGAGAAGTTTTGCTTGGCGAAGGCGAGTTTCATTGCTGCTCTAAGCGCAAACTGGCGATGTGCGACTTGGAGTTTCGGAATGGTGAAATACGCGGAGAGCTCGAGGCTCCGTTTTAACTTTTCTGGGGTATCTGTGCCGATTGCGCGACGCTCGAGTTCGATTGACATGGCGAGAATATATTCCCGGGCAGTAGTGATGATCTTCTTGGCTTCCTCCACTTCGCTCTCTGAAGACACTGTGTTGACGAGGAGAGTATGCAGAATGCGCCGGAATATATTCACACCATCTTCCAGTCTATTGGACTTCATTGCAGCATAACCCTCTTGGAGATGGACATTGGCAACGTACTCAAGATCTCTGGGAATGATAGGAAGAACATTTCGCAAATCTGATTCTTCAACAGTTCTTCGGACATAGTTGACGAGTGGAGGGAGTCCAGCCGTGGCGGGCAGGTAGGTTTTTGTGGCTTGGTAGATTTCTAGGAAACGTGGTTTCAATGGTTCGAAGTTTACTGCGCCAACTTGTCGGTTGAGAAGTTGCATTGCGGTATCAAAGGATCCAGCAGCGACATGGTCAGCCGCAAGGGGTGAGTTTCGCGCCCAAAGATCTGCTTCACTGGTACCGGCACCGCCTTCAGCGTTCTCGACGTTGACAAAGTCCACCGCATCCTCAACGTTAATTTCATCACCCATATCCCACCCAGCAGCATCTTCCTCGTCATGCTCGTCGCCCATCACGTCACCGCCAAAGCCTCCAATATCTTCATTTTCCCCCAGCTCGTATCCATTAATTGGTGTGCCAACATCTTCGCCCACTTCCCCAAACAGAGCCCTCTCAAATGAGGAATGAGATGCAACTTTCACCGGCCAGTTCGACTTGAAGGTTGGAACAATTACTCGCGGAAGCTTTGTTGGTTCGCCAAACGAAGGTAGCGTAATTTGATCTTCAGTGAGACCACAGGATTCAAGTATGGACTCAGCTTCCTCGTTGAGCCCGTGAGATTTTGCGGTCAAGTATGCGAGAGGAACTGGAACGTTGTTAGCATGATAAGCGGCAATAGCGGGAGGAATAAAGGAAACATACGTAGATCAATCTCCTTGAACATCTGAACCCGGGATTCCACGTCGCCCAAATAAAGTGCATTCTGGAATTGTGATGTGAAATCTCCCCGGTGCTCTGAGATTTTTGCCATGCGAATAAGCTTTTCTTTATCACCTGTTGCCAGATATAAGAAAGACAGCTTATCAAACAGCCTTTGTTTCTGATATGTCATTTCCAGAGTCTGGTGATTTCCATGGGACAACGCTTCGGTACCAAGACGACTCCACAGTTTAGGGAGTTCCAGTTGTTTGGCCATGTCTATAGCTACATCGATATTACCACATTCGAGAGCAAGTTCAAAGCGGGTTTGAGGGTCTTGGACGAACTGAAGAGCGATCTCCGGATATCCCTTCTTTTGCAGGTAGGAAATAATACTCTGCCCGACAAGACTGGAAGTTTTGATGATTTGCAGCATTTCATCATAGTTTCTTTTGATTAGGGCTAGCTTGAATCGATATTCGGTCGGGTCTATTTCAAGTATTATCGGCTTCGCAGTCCTGTCAAGACAATAAACATTTCTTGCCCTGACGCGAACGAGGTATACCGTGGAATCCAGAGTGCGGACGATACCATTGTCACTGGCCTTGTCAGAATTTCATTCAGGTATAATATAGCTAGATTGAACTTACCCATTCAAAAGGGAGTATTTGATGTGGTTCAGCGTGGAGTATAGAAGTACACCTGTGTCATCCCATGTAGCACTTTTAATGCGTATGGTTTCATGCAGAGTACTGACATGCTCCAGGGTCTTCGTAACAATCGTGACATTATGTTTGCTCAAGAGAGCAGCGTAGAGTCCATCATTAGACCAGACGACATACTTCACACCACTGACAGTAAGCTCAGCAAGCTGCTTCTTTTGTTGGATATCGAACAGGAAAACCTTTGTGGGTGTGATCAGAAGGAGGGAACCAGTTCCGCCAAAGTAAATATCGGTTGTCCCATTTGGAGGTTTGATCGTCTTCGTCGTTGAATTGCTTAAATCCTTGATGTCAATCTGCTGAGTAGACTGGTTGAAAACTGCAAATCTATTGCGTGCTACGAATACGGCCGATGTTCCGTGCCCTCGTTTAATGTTTGTTGGCTCCATAGCGCCTGTTGAATCCCTAGGGATATGAATAAGCTCGTATGTACCGCCGTCTGTAGGTGACGTGACAAGAATCGCTCGTTCTGCAGGGTTATAGGAGACGGTCCGTGGTGGAACCCAGGGGCTACCTAGCTTTTTCAGAGATAGCATAGGAAGAGATTCGACATTCTTGCTAAAGTCATAAGATCGCAAATGCTTCTCCTTTGTGATATAGAAGAGCTGGTTTTGATACACAGCAGACGCCGGTCGTTCTCTCTCTAACTTGAAGACCATCACACCCGTATCATGGCCAGCAGCAAAGAGATTCATCTCCGGATGGGCAGCAATAACCCAGAATCGATCCATATCACGTTTGAAGGACTGCACTGAAGTCCGCTTATTTAGGTCCCAGACGCGGATAGTCTTATCTTCGCCCACAGAGAGAATGAGGTCTTGATGTGGATGGAACAAACATGCTGATGCATTCTGGAAGTGGCCCCGGCATGTGTCAACTTCCCATGCTTTGGTGTCTGTCCAAAAATATTAGTACTATTAGTCAGAACAGAATTTCCAGATAAGAGACCATACCGCTCATTCTCCAAAGTTTGACCAATCGATCGTCACCTGCAGATACGATTAAGGGCAAGGTAGGGTGGAAAGACACCCAGTTTACACCTCTATCATGACCCTCAAGAACAAATTTAACCACAGCATCTGTGTTTCCGAACATATCTGCTTGGTTGGCATTTGCGCGAGCCATTTGATCCTCGAAACTCAACGATGAGGTCGGCGCAGAGTGCTTTTTCCGCAGACCTGAAATGTCCCAAACTCTAACAGACTGATCCAATGAGGCAGAGACAATCAAGTCCTCTTTGGGGTGGAATTGAGCGCACATGGCATAGTGGTTGTGTCCGGTCATTGTGCAAACTAGCTTCTATATCAGTGCTTGCTCAAGAAAAATATATGTATGTCCAACGTAGAGGCCACATACTTAACGAACGGTTCTGCCAGTTCCAAATGCGAATTGTTTGGTCATCGGAACTTGAAATAATCCAGGGTAGTTCGTGGTGGAAGAAAACAGTTCGAACGTAGTCCAAGTGACCGTTAAGGGTAAATAGACATCGGCGCGTTTGATACGACCAGACCTTAATCTTGTAGTCGTCGCCTCCAGAAACGAAGAGGGGCTGAGTCTTGTGAAAATCTATGCCCCGAACGGGACCATCATGCTCTTCGAAGCGGTCTATCAATGTTCCCATGCGGTAATCCCATAACTGGATGGTCGAGGAGTGAAGAGATACCAGAAGCCATGGTCTGTTGATGTCAGCGGGGAGGGATACTGAAAAATGGTAAATACAAGAACACGCTCACCGTTTTGGATGAAACGCAATGCCCTTTGCTCTAGACGACTTGGACTCAAACTTTATAACGCTCTTATATTAGCTGCATCCTTAACGAAATATGGAGAATGGTTGAGGAGGGAATGACATGCCTTCGTGAGCATGTTTGGGGCGGACTGCATTTTGGTTGAATGTTGGCCGGAGCCGCTCCGAATATAAACTCCGCGCACCTGTCAAAGCAAATAACGGTTATCGATTGAGAGTCATAAAACCAGATCAGGGGAATTGGCAGATGTGGATAATTGTGAGAATGGCGGGCTATTTATTTTGACTGTCCCTGTCTCCCTGAAGCTGTTCCTCGAACGTGGACACTTTGTGGTTTCCAGCCCAAATGATGATGACTAAGCGGAGGGGCCACCGCAGTTGAGCCGCCAACGACACTTCATAAAACTGTAAAACGGAGCCACGATTAACCACACTCTCCCTCCACAACTAGAGACGCTATCGAAAGGGTTGGGTCACCTGTCCATCTTAAACAGATTACTTAGTGCTGCTTGCAACTTGAGGTCTATTTGAATTTGCAACCTTAGAGTGTATAGACGTCCCTCTGTCCTTCCACAACTCTGCCGCCCCGCTCCCCAGCTGTCTCCTTGCATATTGATTTCTGAGGTACAATTTCCGGCTATATTTTCGCATGCACATATATTTTCTTTCCTTTTATTGTTAGAATGATCTAAAGGGAAAGTTCATCTTTTATACACGCAGTCCAATGCGTTGTTGATGAATGACCGCTCTAAGAGAACTTCGATCTCCAAAACTTCCACGAGAGATAAATTTTGGCTGGCAGTATAATACCAGTACTAGGACAGGGTCCTGCAGCACCACTCAATATGCGAATAGTTCCAGCCTTGTGCGCTCTTCCCGATCAGGCAATGGGAACGACCACACCTTTACGATTGAGGATATATCTGGTCAAGATCCTAGATACGAGGGTGATGTGGAAGTGATCGCCACATACGATTATGAAGAAGCCGAGACTGCTCCTCCTTCTCAGTTTACAAAACCCAGAGAAGCAAGCGAGTCAGAGTTTGATAGTATTGGGGAAACCTAGTTGGAAGATACGTTGAAAGAGCTAGATTGTGCTTCAGATTTAACAGTCTACGGAAACAGCAAATGTCAGACATGGGGGAATAAAAGGACATCGAGACAACTGTCCAGCGAACAATCAGCCCCTGATTGGGTCTCAGAACCTGAAAACATAAAGTTTGTCGACCTCGAACATGGTGTGACTGAATTCACCCGGGTTAAAGCCTGTAAGCGAAGGCGGAGACATGTATACAGTGGCAATGTTTCTGGTTTCCACACTGCTGAGAAACCAACTCTTGAGTGTGATTCTTCTGCTCATGCTCCAAGAGGTGCCAGCGATTTGAAGACTTCTTTGTCCAACGAACAGGAGGATATGATGGATGTTAGTTGAGTCCAGGCATGAACAAAAATTTCTTCCAATGGTTGGATCTAATGAGTCTTAATTACTGTCTTGTTATTTGCATATGGATATTTATATTGATTATATTGGAATCGATATATCGAATATTTACTCCTTTTCTGCAAACCTGGGCCAGCAGTTATACCAAATACCTCTAAATATCACGTGATCTAAATGCTGACTTACAACTTTATATCGATCCGGAATTCGTTCCCCAGACAAAGATTCATGACGTCAATTGTTGCTCAGCAGTGCCAACAGGTTATAAGCCCAGAGTATGGCAAATGTTGACAAACTTCGCACCAATCCACTCTGTCACCTTTTCACCTTCCGCAGTGAACTTATACCTACATTTCGATTCACCAAACTACTCTAGTTTTTGGATAGATTGGTTCCAATGCCGATAAGAACATCGACTCGCCAGGCAGCGGTCAAGGCAAATGAAGCGCTGCATCAAGGTGCCAAAGCTGGGACAAAGAAGACGGCCGGCTCTAAACGGAAGGCGACCGAACAAGATAAGGCCTCCAAACCGAAGCGCGAAAGAAAGGAGGATGAAGTCACGACTGATATAGAGGAACCGAAGCCCGAAGGAGCTAAAGAACAACCACCAGCTACTAAGCATGAAAAGGAATCGGAAATTATCAATGGCGAAGCTGAAGTGTCCAAAGAGAGGGTCGATGGTATGGAGGTAGAAAATGGAGAGGAAGCTAAAGAGACAGGAACAGCAGAGCAAGATAAAGCGCCAGACACGACGGAGAAGCCTAAAGAAGCGGAAAAGAAAGATGAAATTAATGAACCAGAAAATATGACAGGAACTCCGGAGCCGGAAAAGATCAAGGAATTTAAAGCGCCTGAAGTGATGGAACAACTTAAAGAACCAGAAAAGATGGAGGGAATCAAGAAGTCTGTCAGGGAGATGGAAGCTAAAGAGCCTGTCAAGAGGGAAGAAGAACCCAGGGACGAACCCGAGGCTCCCACTCCCGCTGCTTCCGAAAAGCCGCAACCCAATAAGGAGGAAGCTGCGGAACCTGAAACTAAAGAAATACCTTCGGAACCCAACACTGGGAAGGCAGCGGGGGAGAGTAGTGACCTCCCATCCAACGTCCTTGAGAAGGGAATCATCTATTTCTTTTTCCGCGGCAAAGTGAGTGTAGAAGAGCCGGAAAGCATTGATGAGATAGCACGAAGTTTTCATCGTGCTGCGGCCGTTGCCCCCGCGACGCAAAATTGGACGAAGGCCCTATTGGCGTCGGTGAGCACTGCCGCTTGCTTGTGCTACCCAAAAAGGTTTTTCCGAAATCTAGCCGCGATAAATGTATGGGTTTCGTTGAGAAAGGCCATTCTTCGGCAAAAGAAATTCGGGATTCGTTTCATGCCGCTGAGAAGGAGACGGTAATGAAGGGGACAACTCACTCTCCAGCGGCAACTCCCGTTGCTGAAGGCGTGTATGCGATCACCACGAGGGATCATGCTGCGCACCTAGTGTACCACCTGACTATTCCATCGGAGCTAAGTGAGGTTCAGAAGAATATCGGTCTAAAGCCTTGTGGGAGTTTCATTGCAAGTGCGAAAAATCCTAAGTATCCGGGAACAGCGCGGCTACCTAACCCTCCAGAATATCCACAGAAGTAAGTCCACTCAAAAAATTTTGACAACTCTTGGTCCTTGTTAGTCTTTCTTGGTAACAATCACTTCAGGGTTCGGGAAGAGTTTGGCGACTTGCGCTGGGTGCCGTTGCGGCCCGAATTCCTCGATTATCCTAATGCGCAGTTTCTTCTCATTGGAGGAACCCATCATGAATTGGGAACAGAAGAGGCTGGCATGGAAATTGAGACACTTGAGCATGAGAATGAAGTCCGGGTGTCTCCTCTGAGCTGTGAGTTTCAGGTTCCCGTTCTTTATGAGTAAGGCAAGGCTAGGATTAGCTAACACTCTCTGTTCATACAGACGATGATGCTATTTATCAAGACTTAGGCATGAACAGCAGGAATTATCCCAAAGTTGCAACGACTTGGGAATGATTGCTCTGTCTATCTTTTCGGGTATTCCCCCTAGTATCAGAGCACCTTTTGCGGAATCTGTCCATTTAGGGCGTCGGATATTTTGTACAGTAAAGTGTAGTAGCTCAATAGGTCATAGTAAGTATAAAAATTAAGGGAAATTTTGATATGGCTGTTGGGTGTTATTCTGACTAAATATATGATTATAAAATGCTCATGAAGCAGTGTAATCGCCTGGCTTAGCTAAATTATAGGGATACGTCCACTATCAATGGTTAAAATGTTATAAGTCAAGCTTTAGGGGAAGCTCGCAGTGTTGGGAAAACCCCGCTTGAGGGTTCCGAAATTGGATGCTGATCCAACGTTGTGTGGTATGGACACTATTCCCGATTGCATTTTAAGTTCAAGTAACTAGTAACGTAGTTAGTTAACCAGTTGTTAGCTGCAGTCAAAAAGTTTGTAGAGCTTTATGGAACGAACATGTCGACGAAAGTCGAGCATAACCAATTATTCATTAGGACTTCCCCTGATTCCCCACGCGAGCATGTCTCAGGAGAGATTCAATATGGCTTTTGGACTTGGATACATCCATAAAGTATAAGCTGGGATTTATACAGATGGAGCAAAACATCTACGCCACCAAGGCTAGCGTTAAAATTGCCCTTCAACTACCACATTCAATTCACGTTCAATCTTTACCAAACTCACTGGTTCATTAACTTAGTTAATGTAATCTATAAGGCGAGTGAGCCATCCATCATTCTACATGTTCATAATTAAATAGAACAACAACCACGTAATAAAAATAGATTAATTATACTAAAAATTATTTACAAATCAGCTTTCTCATATATGAGCAGAATGTTTAATAATATCACACAAACTACACTACAGTGTTGTATGTTTCCATGATTCAGAGTTAGTGTTAGGGAGCGAATGCGAGCTGCATAAGAAGGAAACTCTCTGTGTTGCTAACTGCTATATAATGGAATACTAAGCTTGATGGGATGAAAGGGGGTTGCTGGGGGCTGCCTGGATTACAATGTAGCGGCGCCCGCCTGGGTGGCGTTGCCCTAGCGACCGCCCCGCCCACACGTGATCGCTTGTATGTAATATAGCAATAACCTAGCTAGCTCCTCCGAATAGAAGGTTTAACCATCCCACATATAACAACCCGCATGGTCGCATGGTCACATGATGAGGATTAGGCCTCATCAGGCGCCGAGCTTAATCCGACGTTGAGTCTAATCGGGCGCCGGGCCTCGGTCGGGCTCGGTCGGGCGCTTGAGCCTAACAGTTAGAAGCTTAATTCATTTCTTGCTTATTAACCCTTTATATGTTAACTTAAGTCTTTTTCAATTCTCAAAGCACTCTTCTGAACTACATATGTACGCTTTCTTTTTGCTTTCTCTTTTGTTTGTATTTGCAGCTTTCAGTTCCTTGTTCTCCTGCTTCAGAAAGGTAATTTTATATATAATCATCTGATAGATATTGATTAACTGACATAGTTTCATGAATTGAACTAAGTTATATATATAATATTTGATATATTTTTTAATACTTTTAATCTATCACTTCAATTGATATATATTACATGATATGATTATATCTTAAAAGGTATAAAATCTATAAAATCTATAAAAATCTCTAAAAATATTGATATATATATTTAAATATTAACATCTGAGAGAATTTACTTTGAATTATATAAAATTAGTTTTATAAATTTTTTATATTTATTTTTAATATTATTCTCATTAAAGCTTTTATATAAGTTATTAAATAAAAAAAGTTAAGATTTTTTTTTATAAGTATAATTAATGTAAAATATACTTTATATATATATTAAGTTATACTTTATTTTTTAATATTATTTAAACTTTATTTTTATATAAGATTTTATTTTAATATATTTTTTATTTTCTTTATTTAATAATTTTTTATTATTTAAATATATTAATTATCAATTTTTTTTAATATTTAGTTTATTATATTAAAAATTATTTATTTATTTATATTCTTTTATTACAGAAGAAAATAATAATTTAAAAATTAAAGAACTAATTTCAATAAAGCTTTAAATATGATATAAAATTATTCAAAGTTAAATATATATATATTTGTAATGAATTATTATTATAACTTAGTCTAGAGATATGATAATAATAAAATAAAAGCTCAATTCATCTATTTAACTAGATAGCTATGATAAGAATATTAAACTGAGAATTAGAATATGAGAATAAATGAATAAACAATTATATATAAATAGTTAAGATTCAAAGTGAATCAACTTAAGTAATTAAATATAATTAAAAATTAAAATAAATAAATTTTATTTTATATTATCAATAACAGTGTTATAATAAAAATTTTTAGTTATATAAAATTATCATTTAAATATTATTTTACTATAATTTAAAAGTTAAAATTTTAATTATTCTTATAATTATATATATTATAATTATAAAAGTAATATTAAATTAAAAAAATTTATTTTTATTATTATTATTATCAATAATTATAATTATTATATTTTTATATATTTATTTTTATCATTCAGTTATTTGCTTAAAATATAAATACTAATAAGTTTTCATAATATGCTTTATATTATTATAGATTTTTTTATTTTATAATTTTTTTATTACTATATATTTAATATATTATTTATTTTCTAAGTTAATTAAATTCTAATCTTGCTCTTCTTCATATACTAAGAAACACATGCTTTAGTCTTTGAATGAGATTATAAACTTCTTTCATTCAAACTATGATGTAAAAAGCTATTTTTTCATTTAAATCAAAAGATTGATTTTTTCATAAATAGAAATACTTTTTACTACGAAGAGTAATTTAGAAGAATTTGTCAATTATATATAAAAAGAGTTTTCTTTTTAAGAATCAATCTTGAATTCATTTAATTGCTATCATACACAATGAAATCTGGCTAAAAAATAGTGCTTTTTCATCAAAACATGCTTCCGGGCTATTCTATAAGATGGTTGAATCTTTTGTTGGGGAGAGTGTAAGCTAGCTAGAACTATATACACGCGCAGGGCAAACATCAACTATCTAATGTGGGTGTGTCACGTGTTATGGCTGTTATATACTAACAGCATTTAACTTCAACGGAGAGTTAGCAACAGAGCAACACTGTCAAAATTTATAGATTTTTTTCCTCCCTTGTTTGCGCAAATGTAAATATCCAAAAGTCGACAATACGAGATACGAGATACGACACACAATACACGGAGCACGAAAACGCAGTCCCAATCACAACTCTTCACTTGCAAACAGACATCCCGCCACAACAAACTCCATTGTTCTGGATACGCCGAAGAGATAGAAGGGAACTGAGTCATGCCACAGCATACCGACATCGGAGTTGGTTGTACAATTAATAATGTCTACAAAGGCAGCCCTGAAGTCTATTCGGACCTCTTTGGATTCTGGAGACTTCGAGCAGGCCGCTGGGAAAGCGAGAGAGTTTTGCGATAAAGAGCCGAAGAACTATCATGCGTATGTGGAAGCGCTATCCACAGTGGTATATATCTTTTTACTAATTAGTATGCTTACTACAGACACGTGTTCTTCGGACTTGCGCTTTATAAATTAAATGATATCGAGGGGGCGGAGGCTTCATATCGAAAGGCAATTTCAATTAAGGACGATGACAGAACAGCTTGGCAGGGCTTACTGACGTTGTATGAAAACCAAGGTGGGAAGTCTTTGGATCAGTATCGCAAAGCGGTGACAAGACTATGTCAGATACTATCTGCTGCGTGTGTTCCCCCATCATCCCAATCGTGATCCAACTCCCTTTGCTAACATGGTGGTTCTAGCGATGAGAAAGCTAAATGCCAAGCTGCCGTCCAGAAATATGTTACGCTGGCTAGGAAACTTGGTTCTAAGTTGCAATACAAACAGGCTTTAGAGCTTCAACTACCCACTAGCTTTCTGTATGATATTCTCGAGGGCACCGTCCCTCATCCATCCCAGATATATCTTCGTATAATAGAGTTATGCGAAGCCGAAGAAAAGGAGTTTATCAACAAAGAAATTGGTGAGAGGCGGACTAGATTAGGTGCCCGAATTGACCAGGTGACTCTGGAAGTGAAACGTGAGGCCTTCCAACGAAGTGACTTGGATAATTTCTACCGTGAGATTATCAATTGGTCCCATGATGATGAAGTTCGCCGGAACTATGAGGAAAAGCTGTTGCAGCGGGCTTATGACTTTCTTCAAGTGCTCCCCACTGGGAAAAAAAATGAAAAGCGTGAAGAAGTACTGCGTCTTGCGCGGGAAATGGTCATTATCAAGCATCCATTTCTTCTTGCTTGGAAGATTGTTTTGGAGTGGCAAGACGCAGATGATCTCGCAGAGTTAGATCTCAACATGCTACAGGATTTTCTAACATTATTCCCTAAGGAGGGTTTAAGCAAAGTACTAAGTGGATTTTTTGAAAGTGATATCTCTCCGTTTCCCAAAACACTGAAGTCGGATGAAGAGAAACAGGATGACCTAGACAAAACCGACTCAAACGATCCCAACAGTCCAATTACTTCTGGAGACCGCCTGCTATTGATGGCAGAGGGATTAGAACAATGTCCTGATTCAATTCTTGCTCACAGGATTATGGGGCAGTTCTATCTGTCGCTAGACGAGTTCCAGACAACTGTTGACGTCTCTCGCAGAGGTATAGCTGTCATTACAGATGTTCAATGTACAACTGGACTAAAGCTGCGCAATGTCGCCGACGCAGTGAATATTACTCTTGCCAACGCTTTAATCACATACCAATCACCAAAGAACCACCCGGAAGCAAAACAGATATTTGAAGACATATTGAAGCGCAGACCTACGTTCACTAGTTGTCTTCTTGGGATTGGCCTAATTCTAGAAGAGGATCAGGATTACACCAGCGCAGTGGACTTTCTAGAACAGGCATTGGAACGTGACCCTACTAATATTAAAGTAAAAAGTGAATTGTTCTGGTGCAAAACTCATAATGGAGAGCTCCAGCTAGGATTAGATGGTTTGGAAGAAACTCTAGCCATGATCAAATCAACAGGTACGCGAAACCAGGCTCTCAAAGCGGAGATTTTGTACCGGATCGGATATTGTCAGTGGGAACTAGATCCTTCACCCGCGGCTAGGAAAGATCGCACCAAGGCCTACGCCAGTTTTCTCGGTTCCATACAGTCTAATATGAATTATGCACCAGCTTACAGCAGCCTTGGAATATATTATGCAGACTACAAGAAGGACCGACAACGAGCGCGCCGCTGCTTCCATAAAGCTTTCGAGCTTTCCCCTGCCGAGATAGATTCTGCAGAGCGTCTAGCCAGGGATTTTGCAGACCAGGGAGCCTGGGATATTGTCGAAGCAATCTCTCAAAGAATTGTGGATTCAGGAAGAGCGAAACCTTCCCCGGGCTCGAAACGCAAGGGCCATAGCTGGCCGTATGCAGCCCTTGGTGTGGTAGAAATAAGCAAACAACAATATCAGAAAAGTATAGGGGCATTCCAGTCAGCGTTACGAATATCCCCACTCGATTACCAGTCCTGGGTCGGGCTGGCTGAAAGCTACCACAACTCTGGTCGTTATATCGCAGCCACGAAGGCGTTTGAGCATGCAGAGGCATTAGAGATCAATCTTCCAATATCTGAGAGGGGTCAAGTTTGGTATGCGAAGTATATGCTTGCAAACGTGAAGAGAGAGCTAAGGGAATACAATGAAGCAATTACGAGATACGAAACAGTTCTGAAAATAAAGCCTGACGAATTTGGTGTCTCGATCGCACTTCTGCAGACTCTCACTGAAAATGCGTGGAAGTGTGTCACGTTGGGGTTGTTCGGTGAAGCGGCTGACTGTGCGAGGAAGGCTATCAGAACGGGCATGTCAATCGCAAAGCGCCATCCCGATGCGTTCAACTTATGGAAGTCAATTGCCGATGCGTTCTCCACCTTCTCCTGGATTCGGGGAAAGGCATCCTGCATGCCTATCACAGAGTACAAAAAGTTTATTGAAAGTCAAACTGATGTGGCATCCTTCGAGTTGCTCGCAGATGAAGATGGTGTGAGGACAGACTTTGTTTCGCTGCTTACAAAGTCGAGCTCCGGAGATGATTTTTCACCAAACATATGTATCCATGCTGCGATTCTTGCTCACAAACGTGCCGTGTCCATATCCGCTAGTGACAAACACGCACAGGCAATAGCATGGTATAATCTCGGATGGGCAGAATATCGTGCATACGTATGCTTGGAAGATGATGTTAAGTCGAAAACAAACAAACCTTTCCTCAAAACAGCCATGCGGTGTTTCAAACGAGCAATCGAACTTGAGGCTGGCAATTCTGAGTTTTGGAATGCGCTTGGAGTAGTGACAACGTTCCTTAGCCCGAAAGTCGCCCAACATTCGTTTGTCAGAAGTCTCCATTTAAACGATAGAAGTCCTCAAGTGTGGACGAATTTAGGTGCGTTGTACCTTCTTCATAATGACCATGAGCTTGCGAACGAGGCGTTTACGAGGGCTCAGTCAACGGATCCGGACTTTGCCCATCCGTGGCTCGGACAGGGCTTGCTTGCACTACTATTTGGAGACGTAACGGAGGCCAGAGAACTCTTTACGCACGCTTTTGAACTAGGAAATTCAGCATTGACGTTCCCGAAAAGGCAGTATGCAGTATCAGTCTTTGATTACCTAAACTCCGATTCCACGATGAATGTAGAGCTTCAACAACTCATTCAACCCCTTCTTGCACTCCACCAACTCCGTGTCCAATCACCCTCCAACCTCCCATTTCAACATCTTTCAGCCCTGTTGGCTGAGAGAATGGGAAGCTATACCGCTGCTAATTCGAGCCTTGAAAATGTGTGCACCGCTTTAGAAACAGAGTATAAATCATCAGAGTCAACGTCGTCATTATCACGCTTTGTTCAGGCAAAAGCAGATGCAGCTCGGGTACAGCTAGCTCTGATGGACTATAAAGCTGCTGCTGAAAGTGCTGAGACTGCTCTAAGCCTATCATCCGAGGGTGGCATAGATGAGTTTTACCCTGAACTTAATCAAAAGCTACAACTCTCATCTCATCTGACAGCCGGACTGGCTTACTTCTATCTCGAAGACATGGACAGGGCAATTGACATGTTCCGCGATGCTTTGCAGGAAGCAAAGAGCTCACCTGATGTAGTATGTTTACTGGCACAAGTCTTGTGGGCTAAGGGTGGGGAAGAGGAGAGAGACGCAGCTCGGGTGCAACTTTTGGATTGTATCGAAAAGCACCCTACACATGTTGGCGCGGTTACTCTTTTGGGTGTCATAGCTTTATTGGATGCTGATGAGGATGCAATCAAAGCAGTCGAATCTGACTTGCAAGAAATGCGAATAAGTGATGTTGGCATCCACGATCGGGTGAAAATCACTAAACTCCTCGCAGGAATTGTCAGACTTGGACTTGCAAAGCAGTCTGATAGAACAAAAGAGCTGAGCCAGTGTCAAGAAGCTAAAACATCCGTAATGCTTGCACCATACCAGCCACAGGGATGGGCTGCACTGTCCGCAGCGTCTTCTGAGCCATACCCAGCTGAAATGGCATTACAAACTGCACTCCAAAATATACCCCCCAAGGGAACACTTGATGCATCGGAGCTTTGTAAATACTACGCCCATTCTGGGCATAGAGATGCTGCAGTCAGAGCCATAATGATAGCTCCTTGGGTATCAGATGGCTGGAAAGCACTTTTCCACTGTATATCAGAGTCATAATTGGCCAATATTGATATTAGCTGATGGTTAGTGATTTGCAAATATTTGAAGAAGGGAAATAAGTGAAACTTGCCAGTAAGAAAATTTTACACAACACATACCATTATGCTGATAAATAATCACAATTTACTATCTAAAATAATAACACTATTTTTTATATGATTTTCAGCTTAGAAATTATTACTCTTTAGTTTCCTTATTGGGGTACATAGTTACATTGAATGAATTAGAAGTGGAAATAAATTGAAGTTGAATTTGGTGTCCCAGTAGAGGGTGTGTCGTAACGAATTGCAGACTTGCTGACGCGAGAGATTACGTTGGCCAAAGTTAATTAGTTAACTAGCTGGTGGATCTCATCTTCGACTTCCAGGACAACAGTGACAACTTCGAATCAGACGTTGGGGATTCCCTCTCTGTTTAAACCACCCAACAGCGCGCTCAAAATTTATCTCTAGCGTAAGATGTCTACTATATCATCTCCGCGACCCTCCATAACATCTGCTCGAACTCCAACACCCCCTGGATCACGGCGGCCATCAGTTGAAGTCAGCAATCTTACCGCCAGCAACGCCTCAACCCCAACTCCCCGTGCGGCCTCTCCGTCTCTCACGCACCGGAAAAACCGAGCTGCGTTACGGGATTATTATAATCTCCGACCTGTCCGCCCAGATTCATCTCAACCAAATCATTCACCCCGAAGCATCGCTTCCACGAGTGGAAGTCATGACGATGCATCAACTCATCCAATTTCTCCCTCAACACAGGTCGAACTTGACAACCCTAACTTTGATCCGTCTGCCTATATATCCCGACTACTCTCCACATCCTCTCTCTCGACTATTCTCAAGGCAGAAAACTCACTGATTAGCGACATTCGAACGCTGGACGGGGAACGAAAAGCTCTTGTATACGACAATTACTCGAAACTAATAAAGGCCGTGGAAACTATTGGGAAAATGCGGGCTAGTATCGAGGAGCGAGGTCAGCCTATGGTAATGACGAAAACACTAGCACCTGCTGTGGGATTTGTGGTAGAGACTGCTGCGACGCTAATTCGCCAGAAGGAGGAATCTGTATCGGAACGGGACGATCAGAAGGAAGCGAGTAAAGATGGGCCAAATCTAGAAAAGGAAACGGTAAAATGGGTTTTAGACTGCCCGAGAAGACTTAGGTGGCTTTTAGATGATGGGAAGGTAGAAGAGGCAGGGAACGATTGGAAGGAGGTGGAATGGCTATTGACGAAATGGCAGGGAGTGAAGGGAGTTGATGAATTGAGAAAGGCATGTGAGGAAATCATGATGAAAGAGGAATAGGCTTTTCCCTTACTATCGACAAACAGATTTCAGGATTAGCCGCAGGCACACGAATCACCAACCGTGTCACCATTTCCGCACCTCGCGAGTTGACTATCGTCATACGCCTCTAACTCCCGCTGTAGTGACAACAGGAGCTGAGGTGCTTTATGGCTTTATATGGCGACAGGATCCCATAGCGGCGTCGTCGACTCGATACCAATACTATTGCATGAGCGGCGGTGTTGGTAATATGACTTAATCTCCGGCTGCCAACACCCGCCCCGGCGTTGATGTCGGAAGCACTTGTCTTCTCCATCCTGAAGTTTTTGCAACTACACAAACGTACATTGCGCATCCCAAAACTTTGGGCATGTCTCATGAAGCATTTCCATTCGCATATCTTCAGTCAATCCGGCTCATGGATAAGCCGGCATATCTCCAGTGCTTTTGAGTAATCCAGTATTGTTGTTATTGGTCTTATCAATGCCATTCCAAACTTCGATTCAGTATTACGCATTCTAGAAGAGCTATTAAATACAACAATTCCATACACCATCCATTCGCCCCAATTCCCAGCTCACCCTTTGCCATCGCCTCCGCAATGATGCCCCAAACGCTGTTAACTTGATTCACGGATGGGAACAGATGGGAACAACATCCATTTGCCCGTCAAGATTTTGTTCTCACAAGCACTCTGTAAGATCTTTGCATAGAGCTTGCGACCCTCCATGTCGATGTTCCGCGTCAACATCGAATGCCCTTGGTGTTCAAATTCAGCATCTAACGCCCATTAGCTATTCTCGAAGGTGCTGAGAAGATATTCACCATGACTTGTCAGATTGGCAGTATTTTCATTGGAATAAGGTGATGGATTAGGGGCGATGTCATTCATGATCCAAATCCAAGAACCCATGCAGGATGTGGTGTTGGGTGGTAGGCCCGAAAGGAATTAATGGAATGGTTTCTGCTGCGGTGCGCCGCTCCAGGATGTTGTCTGGTTGCTCTCGTTGATGGTGCTGGTGCCGGTATTGTTAGCGCTGCCTTTGCCCTCTTGCATGGGATCAAGGTTCATCGTGTCCACATCAATGCCTGCCATCCTGTTGCGTGCTTTTTGCCTGGCGGTAAATGGTTGATAGGGATCTCGGATGAGTTATTCTTCAAGTAATGCACCATGTTGAAGCTAGATGCTTGCTGTTCAAGCTCGATTACTATGGCTTCGTCACCAATTAAAATCCAATGTTAGATATTTCATAGTCTCAATGAAGTAACGAATGAGTTAGCACGTTTCTCCTGCCTGATCTTGTGGAATCCACATTCAAGGATATTAATAATGGCAGCCTTTTACGCATGGATGTCACTGACTGTCATACCCCGCCAGCCAACAACACCCTAACAAATCCTAATGGCTTTTTTAGAAAATTATTCAAATCATCATCAAACATCTTAGACTTGAGAATTGCAGATATGTTTTGAGGTGCTTTAAAAATAATTAACAAATGGCAAGACTTGAAGAGATTAGAGTCTTTGATTATGAAGAGAAATTATTATGATGATAATGTTTTTATCATCTGACCTCTCTTTAGTTATATGTGCACAGTTCTCAATATGAGTAAGTGCTCAGAGTAAACAAATTTGAGTTGAACAATTGAAAAGATCATGCGCAAATTAACTACAGAGTACATTGAAACACTTGTTATTTTGAGTATTATACACTATGTTTTATTTAGAATGGTATATTTTGAGAAGGGTATTTAGTCAGGTAGCAGTGTATTTATCAATCCCCTTGAAATAAGTGGTATGAATAATGTTGACTCTCTAGCTAGTTTGGTGTTCAATACTAAGCTTTCTCTTGACAGTGCCTATGAAGTAGTTCCTGGAAAGTAGACACTTAGAATACTTAAATTTAACATTAAAAAGTTATCAATTTATCACTGAACAATTTATGAAGCAGAAATCCCATGTTCAATTTCAATACTTTTCTGTTCAAACCATGTACCCAAAGGATATAACTTCATGTTAATAGCAAATTTATTTATATTCGCATATGCGTGAATTTGCCCCTCTTTACAACCGTTGCATCGTTTATGATGACGGATATACCGTCACAACATACAACTTTCCTTGACCAGCCTCCCAGCTGTCTAGAATTCTGCCCTGCAGCCCCTGACTATCTTGTTATTGGGACATACCTCCTATCGGAAACACCATCGAAGGGTCTCGCAAATCCCCAACAAACAAAAACAGGGAGCATACAACTTTTCAAACTCGATCCCGAATCTCCTCAACTGTAAGATTTTATATATATACAAAAATATCATAATTTGTTCCTTTAAGACCTGAACTCGCTTCACACAAATTGTTAATTAGGAAATTCTGGTAACGATAATAACAGGACTGAAATACACAAAGTGTCCCTTCCCCATGCAGTTTTTGATCTGCACTTTTCACCCCGCGATCCAACCTTAATTGCAATCGCCACCAGCGTAGCGTCTGTTTCTTTATACAGCCTCAAGTCTTTACAGAACAATGACTCTACAGCATCAAACCCCGACATCATCACTCACCTAACTACAATCCCTGTCCACGAAGACCTAGCCACATCGGTTCTCTATCTCTCCTGGCTTCCACCAGCACACCTAACTATGGGTCATAACTATAGTCATGACCAGTTAGCCACAGACGGCTTCGCCGTCTCCTTCTCAGATGGCCGGGTCTCCATCTTTCATACTCAACCCCCCTCCCACATCTTTTCCAAAGAAACGATGACGGAGATAGACTTACCAGGGGAGCCTATAGAGGTTTGGTACACCACGTTCCATCGTGGTAGGTCATCATCCGGCAAAAGATTCCTAATGCTATTTTCCGGGGATGACTTTGGTAGTTTGCGTGTGCATGAATTCGCAGGTGATGGGGGTGTGAATGGAGACGGGAATGACGAGGGCCAAAAGTTGTTGGTTGATGGTCAATTCCTAATTCAGACGAGGGAGATCAGTGATCGAGGGAAGCATCATGGGGCAGGGATCACGGCCATCTTACCGTTATTCAGTGATGCTGGGAAGACAGTGCTGCTAACAGGGTGCTATGATGAATACCTTCGTGTGTATAAGTTTGCAGGACGGGGGGAAGTTTTGGCAGAGAAATGGTTGGGTGGAGGAGTTTGGAGATTAAATGTGATCACTGAAGTGGAAGAAGGGCCCTTGACGACGGAGGAAGATTTAAACGTTAGAAGGGTACGGTCGTACTTGATTCTTGCTAGCTGTATGCACGCTGGGGCTAGGATTGTAAGGGTTACATGCTCGACTGGTGGGGAAGAGGGGCTGTTGGCTGTTAAGTGGGATATCGAAGTTTTAGCAGAGTTTACGGAACATGAGAGTATGAATTATGCATCGGATGTGTGGAGGGGTAACGGCGGAGCTGGGTCTGGAGCTATGCATGGGAGTGGAGGCCAGGACCAACTTCAGCGGACGGATAGGGATTCGAAATTGCTCTGTGTCTCAAGCAGTTTTTACGATAAACGGGTATGTGTGTGGAGGGCGAACGTATAAGCATGGCAATTAATCTTCTTTTCCACGCTGCGTCTTGTAAGGTTGATGTGCATTATGCCAGGACAATGGCCCTTAGAAATGCAGCGGATCGACATCATATTGGAGGTCATGAATAAATGATTCTCATCTATTAGCAGCGTTATGTTATGCGACAGAAGTAACAAAATGAGAAAGGAACAATTCGCTTAGAAAACATGAGAATAAAGTCAACAGGCACCAATATATGGCTAAGGCTGCATTAGTGTATCTCTTCTCCTCACCCTAAATTTCTCAATACCCAGCCAAGGCTTCTAACAAGGCTTTAGCAGCAAGAAAACAAGAATAACAATAACCAAAACTAAACAATAGTTTCCAATTCCCTGGCATACCCGATTGCATTCTCGATAATCGAACCACCAGCACGCAGGATACCCTTGTCTGAGTTTTGTGTTGTTTGTGTTGTTTCTGGTTGAGGGAAGTATATTCTTCCATCTCTAAGAATCCAACCCCGAGCTTGGGCAAATTCAACAACAGCCCCTTCAGAGTCGAGGAACAGCAGGTTTTTGCCGTTAGATATGGGGAGGGATGGGTAAGCCTTCTCAGAGCAATCGGCGATTTCGCTTCGGATTGTGCCAACCAAGACCTGGACATATGATGTTAGCGGGGAAGCCATTCTAACAGGAAAACCCCCCTCTTTCCCTGCCTCTCCATAAGAGTCCATTATGAAGGAGCAATCTCAAGAAGGCGCTTACCGAAGAAAAGATTCCAAAATCCTCCGACGGCACTCTCTCTGACTTGGTCTCCCGCCACACCTTATCATAGCTCCCCTCCATCAAACTTCTCTCCAGCTCAACTGGATATCTAATAAACGGGTCATCCTCGACATTTTGCCCCTTCAACGACGCTTCCACTACCAGTCCTTCCAAAACAGTATGGAAATCGGTATTATTGCCAAGACTCAGCAGATAGAGCAGATACAGGCCGGTAATCTTGCTTCTCTGGCTCGTTTTCAGGTTTAGCTGTGCCACAGACGCGCTTCCAGTGGCCTCCAACTCTCGCTCCTTGTCGTAAAACGGTTGTAGCTGCTGGTAGTATCTCGTGAAAGAGGTGTAGTCGTTTATGCGGAGGGATGCGATGGCGCCTAGTTCGAAGATTTCACGGGCAAGTGAGATGAGTTCGGGAGGGGTTGATGGCATAGGGACCAGGGCATTCAATTGGAGAAGAGTTCTTTTTGCGTTGCTGAGGAGTTCTGTGGCTTTCCCTAACTGTTTGCTTTGGAGTTTACTTTGGAGCTCTGCGATGATCGCGGGGAGCTCGTGATTCGCCATGATGCGAGAGCCGAAGAATGCTACTGAAGAGGTCTATGCGTGGATATGAGTCTGGTGTAATATATGACCGATATACCTCAGTGGATCGGCAAAGAAACGAAGTGAAACCAAGTCAGATGAAGGTTGTTCGGGATTTAGATACCTTAAACACAGCTTTGGGATCAGTTCAACAAACGATCCTGGCGTCGCAAAAATGATTTTCCGATCCCTTGATAAAGCCTTCCTTGTCACGTGAAGTCGTGATTTTGTGCAAAAACCTCTCCTTTTCATAGATGCAAGGCCCATGTACATTTTTAATGTAGTCCGTTCATAAATAATAACTAACCATGAATATATGCTGGGTTTGATAAATTCCATGCATCAATGTCCTTCCTGTGAACAGCATGCTCTTATCAAACATACTCGATTATTTGGAAATCATGTCTACCACGTCGTTGCTGTCCAAGAGAGAAAGGTAAGTTTTTTTCACTCGCAGAAATGCACCAAGAATAAATATATCACACCAACAACGTAGCTAAAAAGAGAAAAAGAAAATACCTTACTTCTCATAAAGCTCTCTCTAGCTCTGCTAACGCTCCAAAATCCGGCGTCCCTAATCCTGTCACAGGGTCCCATCCGACAGTTGCATTCCACCGGCTCCTGGAGTATGTGGCGCGGATAGACCGGAAGCGGTAGACTTGCCAGTGCATCCTCCCGAGCGACCGTGGATAATGTCGTTGAAACCTGCTCCCCGAAGGCTGTAAAGTAAGGGATTGAGAAATTCAAGCACAGGATTTCCTTCAGCTGGACAAATTGAGTTCAGATTGATTATAATTGATGCAAACATCGGCGTGGCACCGCTGTAGAAATAGTCAGTATGCGTTTATCGTGGATGCAAACAGAGCAGCTGAAGCTGAGAAGAGGGCAAGAGGGAGAAAGTGCGGGTAGACGACACGTTGAAATTTTCAACTGTAAGCGTGAAAACAGGGAGATCGAGTGGATCAATTTACGAACCTAGCTCCTCCTGCTGTAACTTGCTCGTATGGTCAATAATCAATCATAAAATCCATCGACTGGGCTGCGACATCAGGAAAACCACGACCAGTAGGGTTATAGAGGCCTTCCCATTGACCACCCAATTTATCCAAAAATTGTGATACGGCTAGTTGGGAAAACAAATCGCCGGTGGCCCTTGCGTATTTTTCAGGCACTGTGCGCTGATTTTCACCGTATGAAGTGGTAAGAAGGGCTGGTTAACTCCTCGTCCGAAAGGGAGAGCAAATAGTGCAACTGCTCCAAGTCCTGCTCATTTTGTATTGGTCTTTTCATCATGAAGAGCCAGATCAGGTATCATTGGGCCACGCCCTTTTGTCGTATAGTATAGTATACCGAGGTTGCGTTGGAAAGAGCAATGCCATATTGAAACATCCAAGCTGGCTTCTGTTGACACCGGGCTTGAATTTTGCAGGTTCAGCCCTCCATTGATTGAAACTACTTCGAAAGAACTTCCCGTTTAGTTCCGGCGCGAACGCGAACTGTTGTTAAGGAAAGCTCCAAATCTCCACATTTAGCTTAATGCTCGAGGTAACCTGATATTCCAAGTTTGTTTCGCGGATCTGATGTAGCCATGAAGTTTCCAATGTTATAGATTTCGCGAAGGCAGGCCTGGGTAACACCATAACCACAGTCATGAAATTTGTCATCGGGTGGTAGACTGTGAGGCGTAACTGTGCCTTTGAAGTCGGGTTTTGTGATGACTAAACCTTGTCGTAGGCTGCATCATATGAACATGAGGGGAATTTTCGCGCAGGACGGAGTATTCAAGAGTTCGAATTATCCTAATCCCGCTACCTAGTTAGAAAATAGTGGTAGCCGTTCTGCTTGCGGCACAGGTGTAATAGAGTTAATCCAGCTGCCATGGTTTGAAACACCCTCTCGATACAACCACGACAAATTGCTTCAGACCCGTGTGATGGTGGATTCGGAAATTGTTCGACCTGATCCCGCTTCATATGTTGTCCGTAACTTGGGTTCCCAGGTGTGGTCAAGCCCCATAACTGTGTGCTCAAAAAAATCATGAATTTTGTGGTATAACAAACAGCAAGGCGGAATTGTATATTTAAGGGCTTCAAGGGGGACCTGATTTTGCGGAGTCCATCCAGAAGGAGCTGAAAAAAGATGTTGTACTATTTCAAGGCTACCAGCTAGTGAAGGCTGCAATGAAGCCTGAAAAGAATGAAACCATTTGGAAATGACGTTCTGCTATTCAGTAAAGTTCTCTAGAAACAAGTCCGTTGAAGAAGATGCTGTGTGAAAATCATGTAGCTTCAAATTGTGTGCGACATCAAGGGAATGCCAATGTTCAACCTATCAAATGGCAGCGAGCCGCACAGCGATTCCGGCGTTTAACAGTGAACGTCATTTTCGGCATCAAGAGGGATGCTTAACAAGGAATCCCACATGGAATCAACCAGTATGTAGCTTAAAGATTTAGTTAATAGTCAGGAGAGCTGGATATCTCTACCCTGGTTTCAAGAACGCTCCAGAATGATTCATGAACTTTTCGCCAATAGTTTCTATCTATTTCTTCACTTAGATGAATCATGGAGCGACTGGTAAATCAAATGTTGCTAAGAATTGAAGATTTAGTCAGAGCAGTAGGCAAATTGATTGACAGCAGTTCTGTATAAGTTGTGAGCTGGTGTAGTGTCAACTTCCCGAACAGCAAGTCAGGGGATTTGTTAATTCTGCACGTCAACTCAGTCCCAGAAATGCCCCCTGCTGCACCGGAAGGACATATTGATCAGATATGATCAGGGACAGCAATGCAGGTCCCGAAGCAAGTTGATATTGCCTTCTGACTTTTGTTTTTCAGCTTGTGGATCCCGGAACTGGTAACTAAAATGTCAACCTGGAACCTTCTTATGGAAGGTTTTTATAAATATGAACCCTATATCACGTGATCTATCACCGTCTCCCCAACACAACCTCCATCTCCGGCACACCGAGGAATCTCCCCAACTCTACGTCAAGATCTAAACGAAACCTACCTCGTCAAGTGAACGGGCTCAAAACAACGGGAGACAGACACGGAACTCGTTCTGGCACTTCCGTTGAGCAAGTTGATCCCATAGCCGATATTGTCTCTATGCCAAAGTTCGTGTGTTTTAGTTGATGAGCTAGACTTGGTGCCTTGGTCTTCATTGAAGCCAGCGTTCCCCTCGTCAGATTTCTGTCCGCTTTTGGTTCAGCGGCAGTTATTTTCGAGTCGACAATGATACCACTGAATCCCCGGTAGCCAGTATCTTCTACCGCATGTTCAGCTAGAAACAACCTACATACCCTGATTTCGGATTTCGCATAACTAAATACAAATTCTTCCAACCATTGAATATCCAAATGTCCTTTCCGGCCGTCACCAGCGCAGAACAATTGCCCAATGAGCATAATCCACAGAGCAAACCGGATATATCGCTGAAAGACCGCTTTTTCCGCTATTTTCAGCATGAGATTACAGGTGGGGTTGGGTCTCATGCGGTTATCAGCTTTATACGCCTTTCTTGCTAACCTCATTTTGCATCTGTAGCTCTTCAGGAGCAAATGGACCATTTGGGTGCCACTTCGCTGATTGGAGGAGAACGCGCTGATGCTATCGATCATTGTCTAGCTGGGATTGCTCGACTCTCAAGCGAAGTGAAGGATGCGTCAGCTTCCATTCCACCATATGACCAGCGGATATACGCTGATGTACGTTACCGCGATAAAGTGGATTTCCTTACATTTATCTCTATCTATTCTTGAGGGGTTGGGGTCTTTAGCTTCATGGGTGGCTCTCTGGGTTGCCAAGCCGTTTTTACATGGTTTGAGATCTTCTTTTTAACACCTTCTAGGCAATCAAAGCGCTCGAAGACAAACTTGCGGATGTACGAGCGAGTTTTGCGCCGCGCTCTAAATTTTCCTTTAAAACCGCTCGCAAGAATCCCTCTGCGATATCTTTAGCAGATGCCGAGGAGATAGCTGCTCAGGGTCGCCGCCACATTCCTGGGTACCGATCCAATGATAATTCGCTTCAGTCGTCCGCCAGCCCATCACCGATATCCTCGTCAACTCCCATCAATGATTGCACGTCCATTCTTCAACAAAACTCTTCCACCCCGCTTAAAACTACCGAGAATCCTGGGGTTCTAGATAATGGTGGCGCCAACAGTCCCAAGAGTTCTACCACCAAATATTCCACCGCTGCGGGGTCCGCAACTGTTGTATCTGTGAGTTCGCATACTGGTGTTCACGTGGTGCTACCAATTTCTGCGTCAAATGCTGCCACACCTGCCTCCGTAAGCTCTTTACAACATTGCGTTGTCGATATGTCAATTCCTACAACTGAGCAGCCGTTCGCTAGCCTTATCACAAAAGACATCACCGAATGTCTACTTCTCTGTGGGCAAGTGAATGGCCCTGCGCATATTACCGGGGTCAAGAACAGCGTTATTGTGGTCACATGTCATCAATTTCGAATGCACAACTGTCAGGATGTAGATGTCTATCTCAGTTGTTCCAGTAAACCAATCATTGAAGACTGCAGCGGTATCCGGTTCGGGAACATTCCAGAAATCTATGTATGCTACTCTCCACGTGCTATCCCTGCCGTCTTTTCCACTCAACCCATGAACCCCAGCACCTCCAATTCGCCACTGAACGAACCAACAAATACATAATCGCCACTTAGAGACACTAAGACTAACCACTTGTCTACATATAGGCTTCAAGATCCACAAAGGAAAACCAATCAGACATGTGGGACCAGGTGCAAGATTTCAAATGGATTAAGGCTGAACAAAGCCCTAACTGGAGAATTATGGACGAGATTGAGAGAATCCCAGAACATGTGTGGGAAAATGTCGTCCGTGGCGAGCCTGAAGTATCATTTGACATGATTCTAAAGGCGGTAAAAATAATTGGGTCTTGAAAATAATTGGGTCTTGAAAATAATGTTGTCCGGCTTCAAAACTCGCCTTGTCAACGTGCCTGGGTCAATCAATATCGTGAGTTAGCACTTACATCCGAAGAAGGAATAGTATAAACCCCCTCCAGCTTATGGCAACTTGCGCGAGACCCATGAACGAGACAACAGACACAACAAGGGGACAGAGCATTGCGAGAAAACCAGTGTTTTATAGAAACCACCTGCTACCATCGCTTCATTCACTGAAAATCCATAATCAAAGAGCTTTATTTAGCCCTGCCTTCCTCTGGCCTGTCTTACCCACTGGCCACCAAGATCCTTGGACTTGTCTTTCGACAGGTTGAGTCAGCAGTGTGGATTTTGCTTGCATGTATTTAAATAATCTGCCGTGCTAGTCTACGCCATTGCTTGGTTATTTTTGAAATCATGAATGTGTATGTCCTCGAAAGGAGAGCTTGTTGTTATTGATGGTTTCCTCATGTGGAATCAAACTTCAATATTCAAATTTTACTCGCGTTTTGTTGAGAGTCTAGTTTTTGCCGCATATGAATCACACTTTCGAGATTGAACTCTCAAAACATATTAGACCAGAACTCCATCGAAGAACACGGTAAAAGCGTTACACTTCTGTAATGAGTTTATAGTTCCTACTAGTAATGTAATTAATTTTGACCAGAGTTTCAATTTGAAATTTGTAAATTCAGAATAGTCTAGAGTCAACTGTCACAGTTAAAAGAATAAATTATAACAAAATTCTAGCAGACAGTGGCTCGATACACAAATGAAACTGATATGCGCATGCAGTATGAGATGGGAATCAATAATCCCAGAGCATGTGTATCATATATCGCTGCTGGAAAGGTTTTGGAACACAGTACCAGCTCAAAACAAAAATAGGAAAATAGCAGTTGAAATGGTTTCCCTATCGAAGGCGCAAATCTACAATTTCAAACTCCAAACCTTTAGCCTCGAAAACATGACCAGGCCTCAGTGCATCAGTATAGATATTAGATTCTGCATGCGGATGGAAAATACCCGGTTGTGTGCATGCGAGCACACATTTCAATCCTGGGGGATCTGTAAGCCGGAACACCCCCCAGTCGGGATCCTTGCTGGGTGCGCAAACAATCGCAATACTTTCAGCTAACATTACTTGATAGCCAGACTGTGTGTGCAAATCGCGGGAGCTCATGAAGCAGGTTTGTGTTGGGTGAGTATGTATCCAGCCAAGAACCATCAGATCTTCGGAATCGCAGTAGTCAAAAATGACGGCTTCGTTGATCATTTCGCAGGTGTCCGATGTGGACTCTTGGTCGGGGATGAGGAGTGTGGAGATAAAGAAAGCGTTGGATATTAGTGTTCCGCATAAGATACCACAGGTTTCGAGGTTGCGCTGCGTATTAGGGGCAGCGATGGAGAGGAACTTTTTCCGGAGGTCGGGAGAAATGAAAATTGTCCGAAGAGGGGTCCCGTTTTCAAGATAGGCTGAAGGTTTAAAGGTAAATCCTGATGGCTGGGGGTCTACAGATGGAGTTATACTTCTGGTAGAAGTGTCGTTCGTTGAGGTTAGACAGACAGTTGATACCTTGCTCGGAATAGGAGGGGGAGATAGTGGAGGAAGAGGTAAGTTGGTAGAGAGCGCTGGAGGTGACAGGGTAGACTCCTGTACCTTGGCTGGGAGCTGCGGTGGGAGAAGTGTGTTGGATGCAACAAGTTCCTCCTTATCAGGTAGGGGCGGAGGCAGTTGTTCAACACCAGAAGCCTGTTGGCGGGGAACACTGGGATATTTGTAACTAGACACAGGCCTTGAACTACTAGGTCTTGGGTATATGGTCCTGTTTTGTTCATGGTCGTGGCGAGTTGAAGGTTGACTCGGGCTTGACGGTGGTCTTCTAACCGTTGACTCTGTTCTTAAGACTTGAGACCATACATCTTGGAGACGCTGACTGAGGTCGTCCGTCTGCTCATAGGTATCGCAGGGCTGAGATACTGCGCGAGCAGTTGCTCGCCGGCTAAATTCCCTCTGGGCAAGTTTGACAGCGAACTCCCTATTCTTAGCTGCATCTAACGGTTCCGGAACTCCAGCTAATGCAGGGTCAACCGGGGCATTTGCAGTTGTAAGACTATCGTTTTCTGGTAGAGGAGGTGTCCTTCTGGCCTCTCTGCTACGAGGAAGCTGAGTGTATTGTTCATATCGTTTGTTGATACGAGGTTTTAACAGCTCGAGTTTAGTGAGGTTCTTTTGGACTTCCCGTTTTGCGGCAGCTATAGCTTTGCGATTTTCCTCCAGTCGCGCGTCCGGATGGGTCGCAATATGGGAGATTACAAGTTGCGCATGTCTGAAAAGCAGAAGATATGCCTGTTGATCGTTTCCCTCGCGTTCGTATATGCTAGCCTGCCGGTTAAAAAGCAGGGTTAGAGGAGCACAGTAAGAATCCTGCAGAACAAAACTAAAGGCGAACCTCTTTAACTAGTAGCCCAGCTGCCCGTATCCAGTAACGTAATGGAGAGAAAGGGTCGAACTCGAATTCTGAAGCTTGACGGGCAATCTGCTCGACACTCAAGGGCGGCAACATTTTGGGGGTAGATGGTATGTTTCAGGCCTATTGTCACTGGGAATCTAAGCTGTGAGAGATAGAAACGGAAACAGAATCGCTAAGGTTTACGCTGATGAGAATATTAGACAGCAGGAACTGGACTTGTTTGGCCCATCGACGCAGTTGTTGCACGTAGGTTTGATGACTAGTAGTCTGGGGGACGGAAGCACGTTGGGTGGAGGATAAGGACAGTCCTGGAGAGAGACAGAATGGCGGGGCATGTTTTCGCTTGCCCACGATAGGTTATAAGTCGCTCAAATGCGGGAATCCGCAGGCGCTGCCGTGGTGGCGTACGGTGATGATGGTTGATGGTTTGACGTGGTTAGTTAAGGCATTCCCATTAAAATAGTTGGTTCAAACGAAGGTTGTTGAAATGGCGGAGTCATCCATCCCCTTCGCCAAGACTCGAAAGAAAATATTCAAAACTGCCGAATCGAAGAAAACTTCTCCAGCTTCAACCTTTGTTGCGTTTCCAACAACCAAAACCATTTCACCGCAAACTGGCTTGATATCTTGTAAGCCAGAATTCCATTTTTGTTACTATTTCTTTCTCTTGTATATTCTTTCCCTTATTAATACCGCGTGTTCCAGGACCTTGCGCTTCACTGCACCAGAATGCCAATGCCAGCGATTCCCACCTCGATGCTTCTCAAGGCGCCTTTCCCTTCTTCCAGTGTCTTCTCATCCGCTGTTTCGGCCGTAGTAGCTAAACGCCCATCTTCCCACTACCAACTCAGGTCCCACATTTCCAGCCCCTTACTCTGCGGTAAATATAACCTACTCCATAGCTCTCAGAGAGCCTAATACGACGGCATGTAGTATTTTCATTCTCTATGACTGCAAGCTAATCATATGAATTTGTGTAGATGATATCCTACAGCGATTGGGTTCATCTCTGAAGAAACATTCGCCATGTGATATCATCGACATCCTCCCTGGTGCCGGGCTCTTTTCCGCAAAGCTCCATAATTATATCAAACCTCGACGTCATCTGCTGATCGAACCCAACACCCATTATTACCAGTCGTTTCTAAAATCCTTGACTGAAGACCCTAATTCTTGCTATAAACATCTACCCTGGGATCCCTTCAATGTCAGAACGATTGATGATATTTTTGAACAAGGACATCTGCCGGAACAAACACAGCGGGCCCAAGTTTGTACTGACGATAGCGGATGCACAGTAAACGACTCGCTTCTCGTGTTGGCAAACGTGACCGCTAAACCTCAATTCGGGGAAACCTACGGTCTTCTGCTGCGGTATCTGGAGGCCTGTTTTGACCAGACCATGTTTCATCGCTATGGTTTGGTCAGGGTGATTGCGCTTATGTTATCCGATGATGCGGAGGTCATTTTGCCTAGAATAGTTTCAAGAAGAAGACGATCTGCGGCCATCGTCGAGGCCACATGCGCTGAAATTGTCGAGGTCTCAGGAGATAACGCACGCGAATTATGGCACGCCCAGAAGGGAATCTCGACGCTGGAGATAAGCAGAAAGCAGGTCGAAAAGCGAGCTGAGAATAATGGAGTTGTAACTCCTGGCGGTCGGGAAGCCTCTCCTCCAGAGCTTGCCCCTGACCCAAACACGCACGGGAAGCGTGTAGATTATATTCCTCGACCCAAACGGCAGTGGCACGATGCGTATATTGAAATCACCCAAGATCCCAACTTTCCGGACCTTCGAGTGAAAACACCAAGGGGAAGACCGTCATCGAAAACTCCTAAGCGAACTGATATCCGAGATAAATCAGTTTATTCTAAGGCTACTAGTCTCCATAGGCGTCTCGTTAGTGAAAATCGTGAAGAAGCGGTGTTCAGAGAAGTAGAACCAAAAATAGCGCATATTGAGAAGCTGGAGGTTGAATTGGTTTCAATGTTGAATACACAAACACCAACTCTAGCCGATGTGGTGGATTTTGCAAAAGAAATCCATCAGGAGAAATTGAAAGTTGAAGAACTACTCAGCTCGTGTAACAGCAGTGCAATATCGCGTTTTGAGACACTTATGGAGGAACGAATGTGTTTTGATGGTGTCCTGTCCGGCACTAAAGAACCTCTTCTTCTTTGGGACAAACGTCCATATGAGCCCCTAGAGGCTGGTGACGACGAATTTGTACCCAACCAGCTTTGCTCTGTCATCGATTTCCAGCCAAATCCCAATTCACCCGCAATCCAAACCCAGCAAATACATCTCAAAAATAAAACGCCCCATACATATATATTAATGATTCGAGCTTTCCGCCACCTCATGGGCACTGTGACAACCCACAGTCAAAAACCCGTCAGCGATATTTTGCGCTTAATGTTTCCTGATCGCTCGATGTCTGACTTGATCCAATCCATTCCCAGCCTCGCTCCATTTTCACGGCCCAAGGTTCTTCAAATGACCGATTCTAAAATAGCAATGAAGCGACTTGTATCCTTGTCTTCAGCCGATAATGCCAAGAAGCCCATTCAAGAGGTCGATCCCGGACTTGTGGAACATGATGAAAACTGTTTTAACGCGGTAAAAGTTCGACATCTTCCTTCCTCCGTTCTGTGGGATATAATTGTTGAATGGCAGGCATCGTCCAGCGGATTCGAAGCTGAAACGGACATTTATAGAGCTCTTGGTGGGGCGTGGGTCAAACGTATGGAGGGTGAAGGTTTCACAACGGGTTACGCGTAGCACGATGTTGAGGAGACTTCACTCTCGTCTTCTCACTGCCCGACTGACATTCTTCTGGTGGAAGGATGGATTAGGCAAAGACACTTTCTCGCCTTCCCGAAGAATGTTGTTGATAGCGAATCTCTCCTTCTATCTATCTAGCGTGTTCTTTGGTGTACGATTACTTGTCATGGTGTTCTGACAGCTGAGAGGCCTTTGTTAGCAGAGGAAGAAAAGCGCAAAGGTCAATGACATGACGCAAAAGATTCAATCACAGCACCCTTATAAAAGTTCCCCAAGTTTTATTACGGGAAAATTGTCCATCTGAAATCTCCTCTTCGCGTGATAAAACCTCACAACCACAAAAAATAAAAAAAAAAATAAACGGAGTTCTAATCCCCTTTACCTCCACCATTCTTCATTCTCTATGCAGTGAAAGGCACACCCTCCAGTTTGATTTATGTTGGTATTCACACATGCACAATATTCCCATTTGTAAAATAGCTTTGGAAGAATACAGAATAGCCGCCGTTTTTAGAATTCTTGATGGAGAGTGCCTAGCCACCAATAAGCTCAAGACTTTTAAACACTAGCCATAATATTCGTAGCAGAAGGCAAGATATCGCATATCCTAGTTGCTCCTTTTTGTTTAGCATCCATCCATCATGATTGATGTCTTCTAGCGTCGGCAGCAGAAAATGGTCTATGGAGAGTTGAACATATCATGTAGTGTAATGTACTAGTAGTACGTACATGTAGTTAAATACGAAAACAACAGACCAATGCGGCAACTTGAAAGGTCGTTTCTGGTAACTTTATCTCTGGCCTTCTGATCGGTATGCAAGCAGAAGCTTTGATGAACATCGCCCAGTGATAGGGCTGGAACGATGGACCCGCCCAGGGCAAACACAACGTGGTTTAACGTTAGCGTTTCACCACTGAGGATAAAAACCATGGAACGGCCCTGAACTCAAAATAAGCTTAATTGCATCGTAAAATCGACGTCATTCAGATTCAGCAATGATTATTATTGAATCATCTTTAGCAAAAATGAAAAAACACTTCTATTACCGCTATGGATACTAACTAACATTAATTATTCAATTATACAAATAAATCTGTCGATGTTCTCACTCTACCTTTTGAAGTGCTCTTTTTCACACATGCATTTAATTCTAAATGTATTTTAGTATTGTCAGTCTGCAGAACTGGTCTTTTCTTAGAAATATTCTTCTTCCAGATATCACAACTGCTAATTGATATATGGCACTATTTATTTCAAGGTGCAATTCCCAAGATTCGATTATGTGAATCTCATATAATGTACATGGGTTTGGCTGATGGTACAAGGTAACTCAAACTTATATCTGTTCTCCTTGACTAGTACTAGCTCATCTATGAACTCAACAGGATACAACGAATGAATCTGGGGAAACTACCGCAGCACAAGAAGAAAAAAAAAGCTATGATGTAACAACGCAGACAATAAAAGTTTTCAAAAAGAGAACTAAAACAAAAAAACTTTATTGCACACAGGAATGACATATAACAGCCAGTCTCCACTCTCTCCATTAGGCACCCTTATCTATCACCCTAGAAAGAAAATCAAACAGGGTCACAGGAATCGAAAAACTAATTAGAGAAACGGCAAAATGGATAAATGAAAGATGGTAATTTCCATCACCCTATTGACTGCAAAACACACAACTAAGCAGAATGCATACCCTCAGACCCAGTCTCAGTACTTTCCAGCCAATGCTGGAAGTTACCGTAATAAATGCTGAGTTCCGAATGACCGGGTGCAGACTGCGTTAACCCCAACGGCACTTGCGGGAAAATAGGGGCATAGAAGAGAGCATTTGGAAAGTCAGAAGAAGAGGACAATGACGACAAACTTGTTTCTGTCGCAGAGTGACTTTCTAGAGAGTGCAGAAGGTGGCAGTTAGCGCTGGTACAGCTGGTGCTTGATGGAGGTCGGGAGATATCGGGAGAAGGAAGTTGTCGATGACGAGATGGGTGCGGATCGTGATATGGACGCCGAAATGCCGAATCTCCATGGTAGTAGCTGTAGTTATCGCTAGCAAGGGAGGGGGCATTGTCAATATGTGAGAACTCCTCACAGTCGCCGCCTCCACTACATATTGTACTGTCCAGACACTCTGGTAATGATGGCGGGGCCTGTGGGACAATATGTGTCCCTCGTTCTCGATTTGCTCCATCCCACTCCACTTGCTCCTCGTCATCTGCATCGTACGCAGTTCCATATCCACCCATTATTCTCTGTGTAGACTCTGGTGTCCGTCCCCTGTCATTTGGTAACGCGTCCGTATTATCTCCACTCCCATAAGCCTCTCTTCGATCTAAATGGTATGTCACCCTTACTCCCTCTTCCTCTTCACCTTCCCCTCTACCACCGGTCCCAGTGCCAGCCCCATCCCCGCCTGCCTGAACTCCCACTCGCCTCCATGTTGGCAATTCATACACCCCCGTCTCCCAAACTGCAAACACTTCGTACTCACCGATCCTAATGGTGGCTTGGTCATTGACAGGGGTCATATATCGCTGCCATTCGAAACTATACCAGTCTTCCCTCCCAATCCGGAGCCAGGAGGGAAGCTCATCCAGCGGGATGAGCGGGACAGTAACGCCGTTTTCCCGGTGGAGATAGAAAGCGGGGATGGGTAAGATGTGATGCGTTGTGGCGGAATTTTGTGGAGTAGATGGTGGCGGAGGCGGCGGAGAGATGGTGTCAATTGATGCACTGGATGTGGGAGGGAAGGGAATGTCCCTATTGAGCTCTTTGTAAGAGGCAATCCTGGTGTGTTGGCGGAGTGCGTCACGTTGGCAGCTGTGCTGTGTGCATCGGCGATGGCTGGAGTCACGGAATTTGGGGATTGTCATGAAGGATGCCCTTCGATTTTACTTCTTTTTACTTCTATTGGCCTTCGCTGACTTTCCCGGCAAGCGTGCTTGCGATCTCCGGCGTACTAACCTTACGCGAAAAACAACAAGTACGAATCGCAAGAGGACAAAGCTGAAAACCGGAATCAGAAACAACAATACAATCATGTTAACGAGTGGATGGTGCCCTGTCAGAGACCAATATGGATACTTGATGCATGTTATAACTATCTTGCAGCAATGTGTCATCTTCTGAGGACGAGAAAATCAACAAACAGCAGTTTTACGGACGGATGCTTGCGTAAGGAAGGAAGGAGCTGCATCTATCATCTCGGGGAAACGCCGTCCCAGTGGGAAAGGGATGGCAGGAAGAGAACAGCTTTTGATTCGCACTTGGGGGATGGGAGCTCATCCAACGTATCTCGTTCTTGTGAACCATCAACTCCGAAGGGGATAGGCTGAAGTATGGTTAGATTTTGCGGACGCACTGAGGCACAAGGACGAGAGTGATAGGATGAGAGTAAAGGCATAAATGACAAAGACTACTCTAAAATCAGCTTTATTTTCATTTCTTTCATGTAACAAGGCCATTGTGGCAACATATACAGAGAAGTGCCAATTTGGGGAGGGCTATATATCAATACATACAAGTGTAGAAGAGATGGTAGACGAAATCGAAAGATGTTGGCATCACAGAAGTTGGCAGCGGCCATGTCGTATGAACAGCTTGAAGGAAAAGAGAAGGGAAAAGCGAGACAATGCACATCACGAAGATCTCACACCCAGGGTGGTAAGTCAAGCAAGCAAGCATGTAACATAGGCTGAAAAGAAAAATCGGGCAAAATCGAGAAATTTGGGGGGAAGGAAAGGGGAGGGGAATGAAAAAACATATATATAAAAGGAAGGGCCTTGGTAATTAGAAGCAGTCCAAAAACACTCATTTTTCTTCTGCATCAGAAAGAGAGAGTAGGTATATAATATGAAAGAAACCAACTCTCTGCTCCCTGCTGTGGCGAATTTGCTGACCAACAGGCAAAACACAAACACCGTCCTCATTTAACATAAAATAAATATAAGATAAATTACAAGGAGAAGGAAGAAATAAAAAGGAGAGTAATAATGATAAAAGAAAATAAAAGAAGAAGAAAAGAATGGTATAATTTTATCGGAAAGACTGGTACACTTTGGTATATACACAGGCGCTAACAGAATGGAAGTAGATGTGGAAAATTGGGGTATATATGGGGGGTAAATAAAAGTAGCAGAGATTGAATGACACGTCAGAAGATAGAATATAAAGTTGACCAGTGTGAAGTGGACCACACACATACAGGTATAGATGCCGAGAGTACGGGGGGTAAATAATAAACGAGAGTAAAATTTCACTTCTGCAACCCCTGAGCAGCAATGACATCCTCTATCATCGGGCGCCAGTCCGCGGTTTTAATCCTGCTCTCAGGATCCTTGACAACAGCCGGAGAGAGGATCTTCTCCGCGATACCCCTGACCGGTAATCGGGAACCATGTACACCAGATCTAACATAGTCCAAAACCCAATGGCCGTCTCTCGACATGGCGAGTCGTTGCATATTGGTTGATCCCGGGTACAGTAGCAAGTCGCCCGTGACAGCCGTAAGTAGGGTGACAGCGAGGGAAAAGACATCTGAACCCTTCGATTGGACTGCATTTGTGGACTTTAAAGACTGGACGGTGAGCAGCTCTGGCGCTGCGAATGGGGGTGTCAAAGCAGAGAGCGATTGTGACGACCCGGGGCTCTGTGAATTAGGCTCCATGGTCAAAGGGTCGTATGACGAGGTGAAATCTATATAGATGGGTTCATAGGGAAATGGGTCTTCCGTGGAGTTTGAATCGGCGCTATCATTATCACCACCCGGCTCTCGAGGCTTCAGCAGGACGTTCTGCGGCTTGATATCGCCGTGGATGATTTGGCCGTATGAATGCAGCCAGTCCAAGCCGATGACGAGCTCCCTGGCGAGTGCAAGCCACCGTGGCATGCCTAGAACGGGATAGAACATCGTCTTCGTGGAGAATGTTTCTTGTGCAGAGACGGCCTGGTTGCTGATGTAGTCTGAAAGGCTGAGAGGAATGGCTGACAGAACAAGGGAATGGGACAAGGGGATAAACCCGTGGAAGGGGATGATGTGGTGTTCCGCACCGGGAATTTGGGAGAGGCGGGAAAGAAGTCGTGCTTCAGCGAGTAAGATTAAATGCGCATCGCGACGCACAGGTGATTTTACCGCGATGACAGAGGTTTGAGGTAATGATAATGTATCTGTTCGCGAAGGAGTTGGCGGGTAGTCCGGCGTGTTGAAAGTCCAACGAGATGTGGCCTTGTATACTACGCTCCAGGCTCCGCTACCGTATTCGATGGGTCTGCCTCTCGAGTCACTCTGGAGTTCGATATCATAAGGGAATTCTAGGGGTAAAAGGTTTTTATTTTCTGGCTGTTGCCCTTCAAGTTCCCGAAAGCCTGACTCCGTTGGAACAGGTATTGATTGCTTAAGTCCATTATGGTCGTCGTATAATGTCGGTTTATCATGCGGCGTTGTTGGCGTCAACGGCGGAGTTAAGGTGGATGACAAGCTTAGAGGGCATAAATACGTAGCATTTGGATCAACTGAAGTTTTCAGAGCCAAAGAAATCGGTGGTTCTCTTTTCGCCATGATGGAGTGAGAGGGTGGCACAGCGGAGGCAGTTAAAATCGATGAGGTGAAAAGGATCCTCTGTAAAGCGTGATACATTAAGCGAGTGCTTGACCACAGGTGGTATATGTTGTAAGAAGAGAAAATGTCGTACCGTATTAAATCAAATCAGTCTCGCATTCGAAGACTCGGCACAGGTGCTGTGGTGAGAGTTCAAAGGCGAAGATAATGGCAAGGGTGGGACAGCAAAAGCGGATCGTTCGGAGTTGTGTAAAAGGAGTCAAACCGCGTTTCCGCTAACTAGGTGAAATGATGAAGACCACAACAATGTTCAGGGATCACTTAGACCATCGATAGAACATTATCATGAATCCAGAAAATACCAACTGCATTTTATGATTTTTGTAGGGGAGGGAGAGGAATCAGCAGAATAAGACGACGTCCAGAGGGATGACGCCAAAAGAGAGTTAACCGCAACTACAACTCTGAACGAGTAGAGGAAACGTGGTAAGGGCCAAATTTAAGAAAAAGGCAAATGGTTCTTAGCTGGAGAACCGGATGAAGAGAATGATAACAACTATGAGCTGGAGGCTGTAACAACAGGGGAGGAAGAGGAGAAAGAAAACAAAATACCACGCATACAAGGGGACCGGGGTGGCCACCAGGGCACGATGTAGCAAGCTACGGTGACAGTGGCGGAACCTCGCCCATTCGCACCAGCCAGTCACGATTCCACACAAGCCGGAGCTGTGAGATTAATGAGATTGGCCTTCGCATGGATCATACTGCAAAAGCCATCCGACTGCAGCAAGCAGCAACAAAAGTCTCAATTCCCAGGAACCAAGGGCTGCGGACAATGTAGTGCCTTTTTTAGAATTATTTGCATCTCTTTTTCAACAGCAGGTGCTAAAAACAAGCTCAAAGCCATGGAGCCTCCGGAAGGCATTTCGGTGCAGCGGCTGTGGCTAGCTCAAGACCTTTAAAAAAAAAAAAAAAAAAAAAAAAAAACAACCGTAACATGAATGGTTGGAACATCCAATGTGAAATTGGCGAGCCAACGGAGAGCTTGGAGAAAGGTGGTGTGTTCCAATGCCAACAAGCGACAGAAATATGCCGTTTGCTTATGAATGCTAGGTTTACCTGACCCAACATTCTTGAATACCTGACCCAACATTCTTGAATAGACCGCGTACTATATATCAATTCATAATGTCAATAAAATAGGCTCGAATTGAGAACAGGTACTGGATTCAGCTTCAAATAAGAAGAATATGGGAAAGAAAACGAAGATCCAGAAAAGTGATCATATGGTACCCTGTGGAGTTTGGCGGGTCTCCTGGGAAAATAGCCGAAGGTGGGATGACGTCTACGTAGTTAACTAAACATCCAACTAACTACGGATGGACCTCAATTAGTGCTGAATTTTGTTTTGTTTTGTTTTGTTTTGTTTTGTTTTGTTTATATTTATTTTGCTCTAATTCTATTCTATCCCGTTTTTCTTATCCTCGTACTCTATGATCACACACGAGACACGAGCGAGCGGTAGTTGTATCTGCATACTATCGATGTTCATCAAGTTCACCGTGGGCCAGTCTCAACAACCCTGCAATGCTCAAAGACTTCGTAGTTAACTAAAGCACCACCAATCAAGCTGGGCCTACCATCCACGGGCAATATCCGTTGACATCAGCGGATAACCCCAGGCACGAACGGAGGACGTTTTTATCAAACACTCTATTATCAAACGAATCAGGATCACTTTTTTACCCGTTCGCGTTCAATTTTGTCTAGATGTATTCAATAGATTGAAGAAAAGATGATAGCGGTTCCAGGTTGAAGTTCAAGCATGCGAGCCACCTTTGATCTGAGAGGAATTGTAATTGGACGATTTTATATCGAGTCTGAAGCCATTGTTTGACCTCCTACCCAAGAACCGGCCATAGGAATTTTCTAATAATAAGAATTCCGCATGGACAATAAAAACACTTTTATAGAAGAATTATAATAAGATTAAGATTATTTATTTAAATATTAAATTGAAGAGATGACAAAGAATGAAATATATCATTATTAAAAGAAGAATAGTCATTTATTACCCAGCATAAAAGAAAATTAAAAATAAATCTTTATCTTTTTGAATAAAAAATCAAATAATAATTTATATTAAATTTTTATCAAACTTTTATTTTATACAAAAATATGAAAACTTATTTTTATTATTAAATTAAATTTTTTTTTTAAATATTATTAATAATATAATTCTGGTAAAATTTTATAATAATACTTTATATTAATTATATTAAATAAAAATAGAAAATATATAAATATTATATAAAAAAATAATAGTATTAAAAAATATTTAATAAAATTTTATAATAATATAAAGTTTTTATTTTTATTTTTTTATTATATTATTTTAACTTTTTATTAATATCTAGTAGATAAATATATAATATTATATATATTTATATTTTTTTAATTTTAATTTTATATTTTATTTACTTTTAAAAATTTATAAAATATAATAAAAATTATATTTTTAATTATTAATATTTTATAATATTATATATTATATTAATTAAAAATTAAAATTATTTTATTTATTATATATTATTTTTTTATAATTAAATATTAATTATATTAATAATATTTTATAAAATAAAAATATATATCATTTTACTATTATTATTATTATTTATTTTAAAATATATTCAATTAGAATTTATTTATTTTATTTATTAAATAATTAAAAAAATATAATTTAAAATATATAATTATAAGATTTTTTAAAATAATATAGTATTTAAAAATTTATTTACTAAAAAAGTAAATTTATAAAATTTTACTTCATTAAAAATTAATAATAATAATTAAATAGAAAATTAAAATTATTAAAAATATAAAAAATATAAAAAATAAAATTAATATTTAAAATTAATATTTATTAATTATATATTAAAGTATTAATTTTATTTAAAATTATACTTTATTCTCTATAGTTAATTTTTATTTTTTTATAAAATTAAATAAATAATTTTAAAATTTAATATTAAAAAAGTTATATTTAGTAGATAAATTAAATATTACTTTTTTAATTTTTTTAATATTATTATTTAATAAGTAATTTATTAAAATAAAATTTGAATTTTTAAATAAATTAGAGAAATTATATTTATTAAAATTTATATAATTTTTTAATATTTTTTATATAATATTAGAAGATATTTTTTAAAATACTTTTTAAACTTTAGTAATATTTTTTATTATTACATTTATTTTTTTATTTTTAAAATATTTATATAAATAAATATATAAAATAAATTAAGTAAAATCTTTTGATATTTTAATTTTATTTTTTAAACTATTTTTTGAATTAAATTAAAATATATTTAATTAATTTTAATTTTGATTTTTAATTTTTTTAATATTATTTAACTATTTAAAAATAATTAAATATTTTTAATAATAAATTTCAAATTAAAAATTTTATATTTTTTTTAAAAATTTTAAAAATATAACTTATATTTACATTTTAATTTAAAATATATTTAAATTAGATTAACTTTTTAATATTTTATATATATTATTATATATATATATAATAATTAATAAAAATATATATATTAATAAATTTTTTTTACTATAATATATTATTATTATTTTATCAACTTTTAAATTATATAATAAATAATTATAAAAGTTTCAATATTAAAAAATTATTATAACTTATATTGAAAAAATCTTATAATAATAATATTTTATTAATAATGTGGCGTTCCGCCCCTATTCTTCCGCCCCTTCCTATATTAGTATCCACTCTCTATTCGCCCCTCCCTAATCCACTCAGAGGCCCCAATCTTTCCTATATTTCCTATCCTATGCAATCGCTCCTACCATACAGAGCGATTATAGTGTGTATATATATAGCAGGGCATTTGCCCATCTTATTAGAAGAGAATCAGACGTGATTTATCCTACCTATTCAATTGCTTGTACGCATCAAATAATTAATATTTAAAAAATTTATGTATATTAATTATTTTTAAATTATTATAATAATCAATAATAAATTTAACTTCATAGAGTGATGACTAATACATTAGTTTTTTTTTAAATATCAGAGTTGAATCAGCTTTCAGCATGCAGAATATTAAACTTATTCAATAAGAACATTATGTGAAGGATAGATTGCTTGATTGATTATGAAGTGATCACTAGCTACGCGGAAGTTATAACGTAACCAATCACTCAACTGGCCAGATCACTCAACTGGCCACCTCCCCACTGTACATTAAACAAATCTTTAAATTCCGCCACCACTATATTAAATTATCCATTAAAAAATTATATACAATTAAATCCTAGCTCTGCAAGCATCCAGGGGCCCTATGTCCAGTATTCCCACACTTGCTGCAGCGTGCCGGTGCTCGCTTTTTAGTGGGTTGATTTGAATCCTCCACCCCTCTATCCACCATCTGCTGAGCAGCCTGAGCAGTCTGAGCTCTAGCTAATCCTTCTTCTCCAGTCAGAATTCCTTCCTGACCTATGTAAACACGGCCTTGTCCTCGCTTGCGTTTCTGCTTCTCATTTGCAGCTCGTAAAGCCTTGTTCTCTTGAGCCAAAAGAGCACCCCCATGCATAGCTAGTTGGCACCCCCGAACTAGTTGATCTAGAGCTTGGTTGGTAGGACTAGGCGGGCTTTGCGTACGACGCTTGATAAACTGCTTGAGCTTGTTGAATTGACGTTCCAATTGGACAGCATTTCAGGGAGTCTTTGGGGTCCAGGAGGCCTGAGATTCATGAGATGTGCCTGGGGGACTTGGTGTATGTAGTTGATAATATAGGCGTTCAAGAACCTCCTCTGCATTGAATGGCACTAAGCCTGTGGCTCTGAATCCATTCTTAATAGTCATATCCTTCAATGCCTCCTTCCTAGCAGCAGAATATAGTTCTAGGAATTCCTCCTTATCCACATGATTAATGCCAAGCCTCATGCCAGATTCAACCTGCTTGCAATATGC